ACATGCCCACCAAAGCACTGTGGCTGTGGAAAAAGGAAGGAAGGAAGGAAGGAAGGCTAGCTTCTTTCAGTTTTCAAGGCAGAAAGTGTGTGTTTGAAGTGAGCTTCGTTTCCTGTTTGGGAACATTTGAATCCAAGTTTTTACAGAACCTGGACTCTGCTTCTGTTTTGGCCTTCATTTTCTCCCTTTACAAGTCTCTCTTTACCTTGGGAACAGAAGAACACAATGTTAGAACACACGGAAGGACCAGCCTAACAGAACCATTTACCGTGTTTGACACTTTCAATCTAAAGTCATGAACTAAAAATCACTTTTCAGATCTGGAACTTCTCTAGCTACATAAAAATAAAATGCCAACATGAAAGGTCTGCTTTGCTGCCAAGTGCTGTGATCAGTGCTTATTTGTTTAATATGCTAAAGCCATTTACCTTGAATAACTGCAGGTTTTTAAGCAATTCTTTTAAAAATGAAATTACAGGACAAAACTACTTCTAGACATTAGACAGCAAATTTATAAATAGCAAAGCCAAGTCTTGATTTCTAGACTATGTAAACAAACATAATTTAGAACACTAAATAATAATACACTCTACAAAAACAAAACCAACCAACCACCCAAAACACAACAGGTGGAAAATGTCATTTGGGTCAGTTAACAGGTTGGCAGTAATACTTCTTTGACAGGTAGAATGTCTATGGGGTACAGGGATGTTTACTGAGAACAGGAGCTTACTGAAGAGCTGTGGCTGTTCACTTGTAGATGACATAGATAGGCAGTGTACATGATGGAACACGGGCTTTGCACATGCTTGACCCATACTCCCTCATATTTTTACATATTCTTAACAAATTAATCAGTGGTATGAAGACTATGACTCCTTTACAGTTCACCTTGGGAATAAGATCGAGTCCTAAACCCGTTAAATTCACAGAAATGGAATGCTAAAAGGCAAAGTCACCACAAGGATTTCCAGAGGCTTAAAGATAAATGCCATGCTGTCTAAGAGCCCTGTGCAAACTGCAGAGCTCCTGGCTGTTCCCACACTGGCCAGTGAGATGTATCATGGCAAGAACTGGCTAGACTCCATCTAATCTGTGTCCCAAAAGAAAAATAATGTTAATGCTATTTTCATTGAAAAGAAATTTACTTATTAGTGAAAGTATATGTATATCAAACTTCTAGATTAGCCTGGCATGGTGTCACAGGCCTGTACTCTGCATATTCAGGAGGTTGAGGCTTAATAGTAAGTTCAAAGCCAACCTGGGGCAGTATTTGACAACCCTGTCTCCAATAAACAGTTGCCCACCTAGCAGAAGGCTCTATCATCTCACTGCAGAGCAAACCAGGAATTCCAAGATCCTTGAACTCCCAAGATCCCACACTGAGCATGTCAGGTAGACATGGACATGAAGAAAACCATCATCCATTATCTTTCTTTTTAAAGTTCAAATTCCCTACAAGTTGAAAGTTTGAAGACTGCCCGCTGCTTTGCTTATTTGTTAGAGAGGTTCTCATGAAGCCCAGCATGGCCTCAAAATCCATTCATACCCAAGAATAACTTTCAACTTCTGATTCTCTGCCTCCAACTGGGAGGGAAACAGGTAATTTGTGACCTCGCCTACCTAGCTAATAGGATACTGGGGATCAACCCCAGATATTGGTCAATAGCAGGGAAGAACTTAATCAACCCGATGTATCCTAGTTACCCCCACTGATGTTTAATAATAATTTCTTTCTCATGAAATAATCTGGCCTTCAGTATAAGCAAAACATTAAGAATCAGTACTATTTACTAGTTTTTTTTTTTTTTTTTTTTTTTTTTTTTTTTTTTTTTTTTTTTGGTGCTTGTCTTTTATTTTTAATCTTTAAATCTATTATAGGGGTTCAGTGGATAAAAGCACTGGCTATTCTTCCAGAGGACCCATGTTCAATTCCCAGCACCTAAATGACATCTCACAATTGTTTTTAACTCCAGTTCCAAAGGATTCAATGCCCTCATAGACATACATGTAGGTAAAACAAGCATACACATAAAAAATGTGTTACATTTGCTATGGGGTGCATCAGGATCAGGCTCTAATGCTTTAGTTGGTTCTCTCTGCTCTGTGGGACCTGGAGCTCAGTTGTCAGTCTTGGCAGTGAGTGCCATTACAGGCTGAGCCATCTTCACCAGTCCCTTGTTTCCCAAAATTTTTTTGTAAATATAAAAAGTTTGAGCACTAGCTGACCTTGAACTCATAGAGTTCGCCAGCTTCTAAATTTCAGGAATGGGATTAAAGGTGTGCACCACCACCACTGGCCTTTGCTTTTGTTTATTTTGAGACAGTTTTACCCTGTAGCTCAGGGTGGCCTGGAACTCACAGCACTACCTTCAACACAGAACTTAGTAAGCAGTTTGCCTTTAGCTAACAGATCCAGCACACAATGGAAAATTCATATAGAGAAACATCATTCTTCAAGCAACAAAACTTAGAACCAAGATGAACATCCAAGACCTGTTTCAATAAAGTAAGATAAACGGGGTGGGGAACAACAAAGGGAGAAATAACAGGATACTGAATGCTCACAGGGTAAAAAATATTTCAAAGTAAGTAAGTTAGGAAAATATATTTGCAGCCATCAGTGTTAATAGGCTACTGAGCTGGACTTGAACTTTATTTACAGCAATGGCTCCTAAGGTAGAGCTGACCACATATACTCACGGCAAATTTTCCTAGTACTAGCACACACACACACACACACACCCACCCACCAGGCATTGTCATGTACCTGTTATATCAATGGTTCTCAAACTTCCTAATGCTACAACTCTCTAAAACAGTCCCTCATGTTGTGGTGACCCCCAATAAATACGTAAAGTTATTTTCATTGCTACTTCATAACTGTCATTTTACTACATTATGAATCATAATGTAAATATTTTGGAAATAGAAGTTTGGCAAAGAGGTCACAATCCACAAGTTGAGAAACACTGCTTTTCAGGTAAATCTAACCAACTATCATCATGGTTTGCTTCTTATCATTGGATATTTCAACTGCTCTAAGTTTGCGACCTTCCAAAACTACTGACTGGGGACTTGTCTCTGCATTTGCTCTGAAGAATGTCTGAAATATGTTGGTCTAGTTTAAAATATGATTATGTTAAGTTCTTGATGTTTATCCAACAGTTACTAAAGTCATGGAAACATGCAATTTCGAAGGATCACACAGATGAATTACAATAGCCAACATGCAAATAAATAATCTCACAGCATTTATAATAACAGTATATAAACAGCAGGAAAATTAAGACAACTGAATCTTGAAAGCACAGTATTTTAGGGTTATAAGACTGGAGCCATACTGTGTTCGTTTAATCCTAACTTCGTCGCTTATATAAGCAAAGGGATAGAAGGCTCTCTCCCCTGTCCCCCTTAGCCTGTGACAAGGATAACACATGCCCACGGAGGACTGGGTTGAGCATCAGTGCACTAACACACACCTTTAGTTCAGCCCCAAGCACTGCTCACAAAGAATTGCATTAGTAACAGCTACTCTAACAGGTTACACAATCCTAATCTGAAATTCTACAAAATGGAAAATCACACACCTGATTTCAAGTGATGTAGATATGCTAAAATATCAAATGAAATTACCTTTTTTCTTTTTTGTTTTATTTTTGTGGCCTCAAACAAAGCAACGGTGACCTTGAACTTCTATGCCTTTATATCCAAGTTTAGATGATTTTGGGAACAAAGTCTAGGACATTATCCATGACAGACAAACACTTTATCATTTGAGATATACCTTCAGCTCATATTTTCAGGATTTGTGTATAAAAAAAACGTAAGAAGGTATGGTGGTTCATATCTATAATCCCTGCACTTGAAAGACCAAAGCAGGAAGATTGCCAAGGGTTAGGCAATGGTCTACAAGGTCATCTCCAGGCCAGCCTGTTCTACAGTAAAACTACGTCTCAAAACAAACACCCAGTGGTAGAGATGGCTGCTAGGGTGGCAGCACATGCCTTTAATCCCAGCACTTGCAGATCTCCCTGAGTTTGAGACAAGCCTGGTCTACAGAGTAATCCCAGGAGAGCCAAAGCTACATAGTAACACTGTTTTCAAAATCAAAACACACACACACACAAATCACACGCGTGCACATACACACGCAAGCACTCGAAAAACTGTGAATTTTGCATTAGATTTGGTTTCCATCTCTTAGATATCATTGTATACATGCAAAGGCTATAAAATTCAAAATCTAAAATGGATCTGCTTCCCAGCAAACAGTCAACTTAGATTTTTATGTAGCAAACTACCTTCTGTACAATGTTAGTGACGATTTGTATATTCACACCATAGTATAATATCCATCACCACCCATTTCTAGGATCAGCACCCTCAACTGAAAGAAACATCATCTACATTCCTAAAGTCTGTCTCCTCGGTCTTCTAGAGCCACTACTGCAGAGACATCACAGAGGCGGCTAATCACCAATTGCAGGACTGTGGTTCACACCTACAACCCCAGCACTCAAGAGGCTAAGGCAGGAGGACTGCCTAAGTTCAAGGCTTGTCAGGTTTCAAACAAACAAAATAAAACTTCAAATGTCCTGAATCACATCCTTCAGAGACTGTTTTATTTAATTGAGCATAATGCCCTCAAAGTTCCTCCGTTCTGTAGTATCTCTGAAGGGGTAATTTAAAAAACAAGTTTAATTCTTCTTGTTCTCTCTCCCATTTTTGAGAAAAGGTCTTGCTTCATAGTCCAGGTTGGGGTTGAACTCATTAGCTCCTTCTGCCTCCAAGGGCTGGGATTACAGGTGGACACCATCACTCTTGTCTATTTTTATACATATACTATACCAATACATGTAATGAAAATGTTTTCTATTTTCTATGAAGTGCCAACACGGGGAAGCATGTTTTTCCAAAGCAAAAATCCATCCTACTCTGAATACTTTGCATTGTCAACACTTCCATGGTCCTCGACAAGGTGAGGGTGAGTGTGTACATTACCTTTGTAAGTCAATTTGTCTTTCTGCTGGCGCTGCCTTTTTGGCTCCATCGTGTAGCTTGGGCGCTTTGGCATTACTTGCTTCCAGACCCCCAGGGCTCTCCTGGCTGCCTGCAACTCTCTTTCTTCCCTTGCTAGTGGGTTTATTTAAATCATCATTTTTGGTTGCATTGCCCTGAGATTCAGATTTGGGGCGTCGTCCTCTCCTAGGTTTGGAAGGGGCAGGAGGTCCCGACTCATCAACTTTCTCGTCTGCTTTTTGTTGGATATTCTCAGCACCAGCTGCTGTTGCAATCCTTTTCTTTCCTCGGTCACTGCTCATGTTGCCTTGGGTAGGCTGATCAGAATTAATTTCCTACAAGAGCACAAAAACAAATGAAAACCTAAATTCCTTACATACCAGAGCATACTAGAAAAGATTAGAATTAAAAAAATAAACTCATTTTTAAATTTTGTGTGTATGTGAATCCAATTCATGTGTGTGGAGCCATGTACTGTGTGTCCTCCTCTTCAATTCTCAAACTTATTCCAGGCTTGTTTGGTTGCTAGAAAATCCCAGTGACCCTACTGTCCCCCTAAGAGGGTTACAGGTGCTTATGAAACCACGACTGGATCATTACATGGGTACTGGGACCCAAGGTCATGTTTTGGTTATGCATCAAAGGCTCTATACCACTGCCTTGTCTTCTTAGATCCTGGAAAGTACTTTAAACACATTACTACATTTTATTATCTATCCTCTGTGTGTACACTTGCATTCCATGGTACATGTGTAGAGGTCAGAGAATCTTTTGCAGGAGTCAGTTCTCTCCCCTACCAAATGGGACCTGGAGATGGAACTCAGAGTATCAGGCTAAGCAGCAAATCCCCTTCATGAGTGGAGTCATGTTCGAAAACAATTCAAAGGAGTCTATATGCCAGGTTCTGACTGATCGCTTTATTACGTTAGAATAGTAGGTTTCCAAGGATAAGGACAGTGCCTAGTATATATAATATGCTCAATGAGGTCTTGTTGATATCAAGTGCTCATCCATAAATGGGACATATGTTTTAGTCTACTCTCACCTCCACTACCATGGTTCAGGGTTCATCACAGAAGAAAGTGTAGAAACAATATGTGAACCAAAGGATGGAGAGAAGTGCTCAACTCCTGAACTCACTGGAACTATAAGTTACTGCACAAATCAAGCCAACAAGATAAGGGACCATCCAATGATCAGCACTAATTTGACCAAGAAGGGTACAAACAAACAAAAAACTCTAGCTCCATGAAATCCCATACCTGCTTATGCCTTCTTTGGGCAACTGCACACAGGACAAACACGCACAAAAACCAATAAGCCTTAAAGAAAACTGACTTGCTCTCTCATCATTCTCGTTGGTTCCTTTTTTTTTTTTTAAACTAAGGACATTCTCTTAAATATATCACTTTTCTTTATCTTTTGGTTTTTCTATGTAGTAGCTCTGGTTGTCTTGGAACTTGCTCTGTAGACCAGGCTGGATATCTGCCTCCCAAGTACTGGGATTAAAGGTGTGTGCAACGGTGTGTGCCACTGTGTCTGAAAAAAAAAAATCTATCATTTTACATGGAAGGGAGGTTTTCATAATTCAAATTAGTTTTATTATGTTGCCTCTCTAAATCATCTTTTTGTTCTGTCTCAGTTTCTGACTACATTTACTGTTTTATTTTTTCCCTTATGTGAATTAAATCACCCTACTTTTTAATAAATTTTTAAGAAATGTAACATCATCTCATGTAAATGTTAAATAAAACCCTATTTTATCAAAACAGGTGTAATGGGTTTTGGGAAGTAATGACAGACAGAATAAAACTGACCTTCACATAGATGACATTTAGAAACAAATTCAGAGTTTAACTGTTATGATTCTAATTAGTTAAACTGGACATTGGTGGTGCACACCTTTAATCCCAGTACTTGGGAGACAGAGGCAGGTGAATCTTTGTGAGTTCCAGTCCAGCCTGGTCTACAGAGCTAGTTCCAGGACAGGCTTCAAAGCAATACAGAGAAACCCTGTCCCAAAAGACAAAACAAACAAACCAAACCAAAACAAAACAAAAAAAAAAAAAAAGAAAGAAAAAAGAAAAGCTAGGCTTGACACACACTATAATCCCAGAATGAGGGAGGTTGGAGCAGCGAATGGCTACAAGTTTGAGGACAGCACTGGTCACAAACCAAGCATCAGATAAAACCTAGATTATATACCGAGGGGAAAAAAAAAAGCAAAAACCAAAAAAATGATTGTTAAGAGGGGAAAAGAAAAAAAAAAAAAAAAATAAAGAACTTCAATACTTTTCATTTTTCCTAGAATAGTATTTTCAGAATGAGTGGGAACAACAGATGGAATATTTTAAGTCTACATATTACAAGCAAAATCCAGAAATCGGTGTTATAACTAATGCTTTACTGTAACTTTAAGTCTCCCTTTGAGAGGATGGGTAATCCAAAGTGCTTGCCTAAAGTGGGTCACATGAACTGCAACACAACACACAACAGGAAGAAATGTGGAGATTTCTGGGGAAAGCAAGATGTGGCAATCACACAGCCAATGTCTCTATTAACCTGAGACTGACTAAGGGCCGTTTATACAGGCAAGTCGTCTATCATTCAGCTAAGTCCCAAATCAACCAATATGGTGGTGCTTGTGTGTAATTATCCCAACACTAGGGAAGCTGAAGCAGGAAGATTTCAGCTCTGAAGTCAGCCTAGACTATAAAGCAAACCACCCATAAGATCACTTACGAAAGTTATGCACATATGTTTACGTAGGAAAGCAAGAAAAACGTAGATATGGAGGGAGGCAGTTCTGACAATGTCCCTAACCTGAATCCAAGCAATCTTGGTTCTGAATACATCCAGTTCCCATTGTTTGTTACAATTTACACACAGAGCAAGTAACAAGAGTGAATATATTGACTTAAAATTATACATATCCACGTTGGGTGGCATATACCTATAATTCTAGCACTTGGGACATAGAGGCAGGAAGACGATCAGGAACTCAAGAGTTTAAATAGCAAGTATAAGGGCAGTAGGGTCTACAGATGAAGACTTTGTCTTAAAACATTCCTTCACCAAAACAAACAATACACACACACACACACACACGCACGCACAAATAATGTTCACGCAGACTAATATATTGGTTTATATATTAATTTTCGTGAGAAATTGGTTAGCAAGAAATACTCCCTTATATCTTTATAGTGTCTGTATTAGAGAACGATAACAAGAGCCTGGGGGCATGAAGGTCAGACGTGAAGGAAAAAAATTACAGTATTATCTTAAAAGAGAACTGACTGAATCTGCCATACTTTTTTGAAAGTACAACTATGTCAGAACATTCTTAAGTAGAAGGAATGATGCAGTCTGCTATTTCAAATCACACAGAGCAAAATTTTGACCTTTCACATGTCAAATTTGCCCAGGGTTGTAGCTAGGCTATAAAACCATAGTTAGTAGGCACCAAGGCCTGCTTTTGCTCTCTAACACAAAACACAGACATAGATACACACATAAAGGAAGGAAGAGAGAGGGAGGGAGAAGAGGGAGGAAAAAAAAGAAGGAAATAAGGAGTGAGCCCAATGTGTAAAAAGTTCCAATTAATTTTAGGTAGAGGCTAGTGAGATCACAAGGTCCCATTGGATTAATCTAAGCATATGTTACTCAATGTGCCTCACACGTTTTTTATGACCAGCCTAATTCATTGTGTACACTGTCCCATAATAAGTAGATTTATAAACAGATTTATTGGTTTCTGCATTTCAAGAATTTTGGCAGAGAGGTGTTCCTGAGTTGTGTATTAAAATGCTCTGTTTTAAGCCATTCCTATTGAAATGAGCAATTTCATTTTACAAGTGAATGGAAGGTTCCAGAAGTAAAGCAATCTAAATCAATACTCAAGCCAGTGAGTAGCAGAGCCAGGGTTAAAATCAGATCTGACTTATGCTCCTATATTAAGCTTCACTGCTTTCCTTGCTGTTGAAACACTGAAGAGAATGGGAGGGGGCTCAGTGTTTAGGAGGACCTGTTGCTCTTGGTTTTAAGTTTCCAGAGCTCACATGGTAGCTTATAACCACCTGAAACTCTAGTTCCAGTGGATCCAACACCTTCCCTGACCTCTGTAGGTACCTGGCACATGAATGTGGTACACTACTGACAGTTATCCAGCAAAATAAGGTTAAGTATTTAAAAACACAAAACTGGGAGGTGACGATCAGTACTCTTGCAGAGGACTTAAGTTCACTCCTGGTACCCACAACACCACTCAGACTGTAACTGCAGCCCCAGGGGGATCCATTCCTTCTCCTGGCTTCAACCAGTAATGCAAGTTATACATACACAAGTCAATATTACATAGTTACAAAATAAAGGAATTGGGAGCTGTGGCTTATATGCCATGGTAGAACATATATGTAATTCAGGAGGATCACAATTTAGAAGCTCTCCTGGGCCTAGGAAGATGAGTCATCACATAAAAGTGGGTCCAATTCCAAACACACATGCAGGAGAAGGTATACATAATGGCAAGCATTTGTAACCCTGAAATGGGAAGTGGACAAAGGTGAACAAGCTAGAGCTCAAGGACCAGTCCACCTGGAGTACAATGAGCAGCACAGATTAGAGACAATGTCGTTTAACCTCCAAAAGCATGATAGACCAGGTACATGTACATATCACTCACACACACACACACACACACACACACACACACACACACAGAGAGAGAGAGAGAGAGAGAGAGAGCAAAGAAACCCTCAAACAAATAAAAGCAAAAGTGCAATGCTGAACTTTGGACATCAGTGACCTTCTTTGCATATCAGACTTTCCCCTCAATTGCTCAAATTTGTTCCTTTTAAAATGTTTGGAATGGCAGCATGGAAAAAGGGTGTTACCATGAATAATTAATACAAGAAGGATTACAAATGAGGATGGGTATAGAAAGAATCATTTTAGGAGAACAAAAGCACAGTTGAGTGTAAGATTGAAATAAACAACCTGGCATTGGTGGCGCATGGCTTTAATCCCAGCACTTGGGAGGCAGAGGCAGGCGGATATCTGTGAATTCGGGGCCAGCCTGGTTTACAGAGCAAGTTCCAGGACAGGCTCCAAAACAATACAGAGAAACCCTGTCTCAAAAAACAAACAAATAAGTAAATAAATAAATAGATTGGAATAAACATATAAATAAACTGTGCATGAGTGTTTTGCTTACATGTATATCTGTACATTGCATGTATACCTGGTGCCTATGTAGACTAGAATTGGAGTTCCAGGTAGTTGAGTTGCCAAGTAGGAAACAAAACTTGGGTCCAGAAAGATCAGTGAGTATTGCTAAGTGGTCTCTCCAACCCTAACTTGAGCAAGCCTCAGTCCTCAGTACTGCAAATAAATGAAGATTTACCTTATTCTTTACAGTATCAATATTCTTTACAGGTGTGACAGAAATTATTCTCACAGGATTCTCCTCATTTTCACTAACTCCAGTTTCTGATGCCTCTGAACTCTGTTCCCTAGTAGAAAAACAGCCAAACAAAAACAAAACAAAGGTCTTTCATTTACTTTAATACACTATTTCTATTTAACATTAACAGAATTAAGACATAGCCACTCCTGGAACCAACCGAGAAAAGATTCTCAGAAAAAAATGTTCTAAGTATTATCTCAAAGCAGAATTAAAATAATCAATTTTATTTATTGATTGATCACACTACTATGTATCCACTTGCCTGGGAGGTATTAAGTCCCCCATCGATTTAAACAATAAATGTTCTAGAATTTATATCTTTAATTGTGCTATGATGAGGTTTAAACACTACTGGTTTTTAAATTTATTCTGTTTTGTTTTTGGAGACAGGGTTCTGTGTAGCTCTGGCGGTCCTCCAACTCAGAGATCTACCTACCTCTGCCTCCTGAGTGCTGGGGTTAAAATGTGTGAACTACCACAACCCAATTTAAATTTATTCTTAAATTTCACAGGGAGTAAAATCTTAAAAACCTTAGTATTAAAATTTGTAGTTCTAGTACCAAGAGGTTGAGGCAAGAGGATTGCTACAAATTTGTAGCAAGCAGCCTGGACTGTATAATGTAAATTCAGCATTGTCTCAAAAAGCATTCTTTGTCAGCCAGGGGTGGTGGCACACAACTTTCCAGCACTAGGAAGTCCATTTCAGAGGGAGGCAGGTGAATCTGAGTCCAGCCTAGTTTACACATCAAATCCCAGGCTAAACAAGAGTTACACAGTGAGACCCTGTCTCAGAAAAGATAACAGTACATTGTTGAGCCTCAACATTAAAGAATCCTAAACACATTAATACTATTTTATATCAATTCTACAGAAGCCCATCCTATGATTCAATGCCTCAGAACTAAGTTAAAATGTAAGTCAAGCAGTAGGTAAGAGAACAAAAATGGATTCTGAGAAAATAAATTGCCTTGAACGACTTCCGGCTGAAGGATTCAGCTCTGAATTGGTGTTAACATTGCTTCCAGTCTCTGTGCCGGCACTTCTAACATAAGGCTTCCTTCCTGTTGCCGATAAAGGCTTGTTAACTGTACCTAGTACTCCAGTAGGCTTTGGCTGGGGGGGAAAAAACAACAACAACAAACTTAGGAAAAGTAAGACATAAAAACTTATAAACAGCAAAGATGTATGTCTTAATGTTAAACCATTCTCTTAGAATATTGTTATAAATGATAATACTGGCAAATCATTTGGCTCTTCTAAAATAAGCAAAACATGAATTATCTTCACTTAATAATGTGGCAATATTTGTTATTTCTTAAAATAAAATGCATGCCTCTAAAACACATGGAAATAAATAAATGATGCAGTTACCTTGGATATAGACTACTGAATGTAGTAATCTTACATCACCTTACTTTTATGAAATAAAATCTATCCATCATACCAGTTTTTCAAATTTTATTTATCTAGTTAATAAATTTGAGCTTTTGATCACTGCTAAGATATGTGGCTGTGATGCTCAGAACTTAGATGCTGTACAAACCCACAATTCATCCTTAATAATCTGGGGCATACAGCAGACACAATACACATATTAAACAACCCCCTCCACAACAGAGTGTAGTACCTTTCCTGTCAAGAGAAGCACTCTTGTCTCTTCGGAAATGTAGCTTTTGTCATTACAGAAGTCCTATTTTGAAAAAAAGAACACAAACAACCCAATGGAACACTTTCATCATCTAAACAGTTTTTTCAGGCTCTTTCCTACAAGCAGCAATTGTGCTTGTGCAGGAGGCCCATTTTCCCTTCCCTGGTGTGTGCTACTGTTGAGTGACCCCAGAAAACAGCATGTACTGGGCAAGAACTTTTAGTAATAATGTCATCCTTTTAACAGTTCACATTTTTGTTTGTTTCAAGTAGCCCTGGATATTCTAGTAGATCAGGTTAGCCTCAAACTCAGAGATCCTCCTGTCTCTGCCTTCACAGTGCTGGGGATAAAGACACTACCATCACATCTGGCAAGACCTATTTTATTTTTTTGTGTAGGAGTGTTTTGCCTGCATTTGTGTAAGTTCACCATTTGTATGCAGTGCCTGTAAAAATCACTTCAACATTTTAAATAAACTATATTCCTAGTTTTTCATATTGTTCACAGTATTGTCAACATACCCTACTATAGTATTAAATCTACTTTTCAGCTGATACAGTAGACAATGTGTATTTGTTGGCAACTTACTGGGTTCCTGATCTCCTGCTGCTATATCAGGCTTATCCTAGGCACTCATACAAAGAACTCCATACTCTACTTCAATTACCATTATTACAAATACAGGAACCTGTCATCTTAACATTTTGAGCTGGGTACAGTGATATGCTTATACTCCCATTATTGGGAGGTTGAGGCAAAAGGATCTCAAGTTTAAGGCCAACCTAAGTTATAATGAACCCGTGTCAAAAAATAGGTATGGCCTGAAGAGATAGCTCAGCAGTTGAGAGCACTGGCTGCTCTTCCACAGGTTCTGAGTTCAATTCCCAAAACTTGCTCACAAACATCTGTAATGGGATCATATTCCACTTTCTAATGTGCATGAAGATAGAGCACTAATATACATAAAATATATAAATATTAAAAGAAATAAAAGGTATTTAATTTTTAGTACTGTAAGATTTATGTTCACATCACAAAGACAAACCATAAAATAACTAAGTAGATATAACATCCCCTAACAGTATTGATACTATTAGTCAATAATAAGTTAAATCAACTGTGAACTCTGATATTTTACTGAATCATGTCTACCTACCTATACCTAAGCTATATTTTGGGGTGGGGGATGAGGGATTGGGGAAGAAGGAACCTTGATGGACATGAAAACTCAATATGTAGACTTGAATAGCCTGGGTCTCATGCTGGGATTAAAAGGTGTATATCTGAGCAACTCAAAGATTATGTCTTATAATTTTCATCTCTAGCACTTGGGAGGCAGAGGCAGGTGGATCTCTGTGAGTTTGAGAATCAGCCTGGTCTACAAAAGCTAGTTCCAGGACTGAAGCAACAATTATCTGTAGCATCTGGACTTCAAGAGAAGTTTGTGCACACAGCAAGACCTAATTTAGGGGTGGGGGGGGACAGTAGAGATGGTCACATTCAAAGTACATGTTATGTATGCATGAAAATGGCCTTATGTAGCAATATATAATTTAAAATTATATTTTTCTCTTAGGAAATGTACCTTCACATAGTTGTGATAGATCTGAACAAGGGGCTTAAATAAATGCACCTATGAGGATTCTTTGTTTTCTTTCTTTCCCCAATCCCCCAACCTGGTTCTTGTTATGTAAATTCAGCTTTAGCTCCTTTGTGCTAAACTAGGACTAGAAGTGTTTCCCACTATGCCCCACTCAGCTATGCAATTTCTTTAACCCCCCCCCCAAAAAAAAAGAGGAAAAAAAAAAAGCTTTTACGTAGCTAATGTTTAAAATTCTGGAAACAAAAATTTACTTACTTTGCTTATGAAGAAATCTCACCACCTCAACAGACTCGCATATGCCTGGTGTTCTAGCCTCAGCTTTCCCACAGTGTACACCTTGCCTGACAACACTGTCCATTCTTTACAAATGCTCTCTTTAGCTGGGAATGGAGCTCACTGTGGAGCTTCTTGCCTAGCACGTACAAGGTCCTACATATAAATTCCAAAGCACAAGTACTCTCAATTGTTGTAATAAAAATAGGATAACATCATTTTAAAATCTGAAAGGCCCTTTCCATACTCAGAACGTAAATCTGAGCACTAACATAGACTCTCCTACCTAGAATGATAGTCTTCAATTTCTCAATACATTTAGAACCTTTCTTTTTTTCTTCTTCTTCTTCTTTTTTTTTTTAAATTAAAACCTGTCCTTAAAACTATGTAGTATTTATCACTGGTATTGACTGAAACCAAAATCACCTTTTGCAATAGAACACTAGAGTGAGGAAAATTACCTTTTCAGGTTGAGTGAAGAACTTGGTTGGGAGGACTGGATCCTTAGGGGAGTCTGCATTGCACAGAGCACTTTTACTATTTATAACACACAGAGCCACATCACAGACTGTATACAGTTTCTAGAGTAAGAAAAAGGACAATAGCTTCCATGATTACATAATAATCACAAATACCATCCATCAGATACATAAATTCGAGTTGAAACAGTTTGAATTCTTCAAACTCCCAGTAAAGGCAATCCAAGAGCATATTAATTTTCTCTAGTTCACTACAAAGAAGTTTCTAATATAAGACCGCTCTATGGTCTATCAGTTTGTATCTTCCTGCCTAAGTGTTAGAATATTAAATATTTAGAATATTAAAGGTTTCCAGGGGGAAAAATTGTGAGTTTAAGTATTAAAAAAGAACTCAAAACAGGGGGTGGAGAGAAGGCTCAGGAGTTTACAGCACTTGTTGCTCCTGTAGACATGGATCTACTTGGTAACTCATAAATATCCATGACTGAGTTCCAAGGGACCCCTCCTCTTTCTGACCTCCATGGGTATCAGGCACATACTTGCTACACATTTTTACCTGCAAACTCATATACTTTTAAAAATATCTGAAAAAATTTAAGTGACTATAAATATATTTTAATAGACAGTGTGTATATATATATAATATAATAAACTATTATATAATTGTCAAGAAAAATTAAGTCAGCTGATGTATTTTTCTTTGACATCCATTGCCTATCATTTGTTTTACCTCATTTGTCTTGGACTCATCTGGAGACTGGGCATCTCTGGTCAGCTTGATGTTCTCTGCCATCTTCTTCATAAAGGCATGACTGTTGTTTTCATTCTTTGTCATTAAGACTTCAAGCATAAACCACAGGCACCTAAGTGAAAAACACATTTAAGAGAATAAATGAAGACCTTTTTTGCCTAATGGATTAGTAAGTCTTTATTCAGAAGTATGATTGTCTGCATAAAGTAAAAACAAGATGGTAACCTATCATTTTATTAATTCAAGTGGATTTCTTTAGTTGTTTAGGACAGGGTCTCCTGCAACCCAAGCTGGTGTCTAACTCACTATATTGCTTCTCTTCTTTCTGCCCCTACATCTTGAGTGTTAAGATTATAGGTATGAGTCATCATATCTGGCTCAAGAGGAAAATTAAGTCACGGAACACTGAAAATAAAACACAGCTTACTTTCGAGGACTTCTGGCACTTTCACAAGGTGCATTAAGGACAATAGAGGTTCTCAATAAACACTTAAACTGTGATGAGGTTTTTATCCACATCTAAGATGAACAAATTAACACACCACATTTCCTTAGCCCTGTTTTGCTATTGGTATGTAACTGATGAGAGAACAGCATGCATTATGTTACTGGTATGTAATTGTGATGTGTGACTAACATGTATGAGACTATTGTGTGTGATAACCAGCCATGCAATAAGCGGTGCCTTGCAAAATAATGTTTGCTATTTCACATTGAATATGTTGTATATCATAGCATACACAATACATAAAATGTAAGAATGGGACAAACTAGTGAGTTTTCAAAGGAAGAGTGAACCTCAAATCATACGGAACATGAACATCACTTGGGGAATTGACAAATATGGAGATAGAGCTTGTTTTTCGCCAAGTACCCAAAATGACTTATAGATCAGAGTACCTGCTTGGACTTTGGATATTCAAAGCAGTAAAATAGAAAATCAGAAAATGCAACAAATACTAAAATCACCCCTATTTTATACATAAAGAACTTCTAGGAACTTTTTCTTTTAAAGAGGCATCAAATGTGTAAGTTACTGACATAATAAGATGGATCAGGTTTTAAAACCTAATCTGACCTGATAAGCTGTGTGCAGCACTGTCTGAATAACCAGCTATACAGCTTGAACATGACCACACTGGACTCCCACACTGTTTAAGGCGGGCACTCAGCTTGCTTAAGTGGACACCTCATTACTTCTCTGGGTTCAGAATCCTAACATTCTATTAACTTACAAAATTCTTTTTTATAATTTATTTTTATTTTATGTGCATTGGTGTATTGCCTGCATGTATGTCTGTGTGGGGGTGTTGGGTCCCCTGAAACTGGAGTTACAGTTGTGAGCTGTCATGTGGGTGCTGAGAATTCAACCTAGGCCCTCTGGAAGAGCAGCCCTCTCTTCATTCCCAACTTCAAGTTTCTTGATCCTTTTACAAAGACCAACAACATTAGAATTACTGTTGGGAGATAATGAGGAAGTATTCTCACAGCACTAAGGATATGAGACTCATTCCTTTTAAAAGTTTTAACAGAAATAAAATTAAGATTTAAAATATAGCTGGGAGGTGGTGGCACACACTTTTAATAGTAGCACTCAGGAGGCAGAGGAAGGTGAATCTTTGAGTTGAAGGCCAGTCTGTTCTAGGAGGGCCAGGGCTTCACAGAGATGTCCTGTCTTGAACCCCCCACAAACAACATACAAACAAACAAACGTGTCTAGAACATACATGTGTACCAACCTTCATGTAAAAAATGATAACATAGTTTAGGATATAAAAAACTATATGTAAGAAATAGACATGTCATTTTTGTGAAGTTAGAATATGTTGAAAACTTAAGGGCCATGTACAACAAACATACTTATTTTGATGCTTTTAGTCTTGCCCAGGTTGGCTTTGAACTCCTTTGTGGTTACACTCTTCTCCTTGTTACCATCAACCTCCCTGTGACTTCCGCATTCATTCATTTCTGGACTGTAGGTCTGTAAACTTTCCATGTATGCTACCACTTTTTCTTGGTACTCTCCCCACTAATACATTCACTGATTTATTTCCAGTAAATTTTCCTTTTAAGGCCCTCTATTCTTTTTTTTAATATTTTAAAATTTTATTTACTTATGTTTATTATATATACAGTGTTCTGTCTGCACATCTGCCTGCACGTCAGAAGAAGGCATCAGATCTCATGATAAATGGTTGTGAGCTACCATGTGGGTGCTGGGAATTAAACTCAGGACCTCTGAAAGAGCAGTCAAGTGCTCTTAACCTCTGAGCCATCTCTCCAGCACCAGGCCCTCTATTCTTAGACCTTCCCAGACCTTGAAAATTCTTAGGGGTGGTATTTATACTAGAGAAAACATTAACTTCATCAAATCTCACTTTATGGGTACCTCCATTTTGTTCACTGGCCTTCTTGAATGTATACTAAAGCCAGTGGAAGAATGGCTGCCCAGTGTGCAGCCACTCTGTCAGCTGTAACCTTGCTAATTTCCCAACCCTTTCTACCCCACTTGTTCAATTTTCCATAGTGATCTTACTTATTCAATTGCTACTTCATAGTCCATAATCACTTTTTTTGAAGTGTCACAATTTTCTTACCAATTGTCTTCCTAACATACTTGCCTTAAAAACTCACAACTTGGGGAGATAACTAAGTCAGAGAAGTACTTGCCACTCAAAGGGGAACCTGAGGTGATGCCTAGCCATCATATAAAAAGCACAGCATGGTGACTTGCTTGCAATCCTAGCAATGGGGAGACAGAGATAGGAGGATCCTTGGGGCTCCCTCACCAGCCTGCTTAACCTAATCATCAAGACCCACATACCCAGTAAGAGACCCTGTCTCAAAAATCAAGGTGAGTGGTTCCAGAACATCAACATGCAAAATTAACCTTTGGCCTCAATGTGTACACATGTACTCATGATATGGCCCCCACCACACAAAAACACTCAGAACCTGAAATAATTCAAGTGTTTGGGTTCTTGGCAACAATGTCAAAGTGTTTAACTGCTAGGGTAGAGAGCACCACCTCTGATTAAAAAGTTTAAGACTTCTAACATTGCTGAACATGGTGGTGCACTCTCAGATCCTTCAAGGTCAGGCATTCAAGGTCATCCCTGACTTTACAATAAGCCTGTGGACAGAGAGGGCTATTTGAGAATTTGTCTCAAAAAAAAAAAAAAAAAAAAAAAAAAAAGACAAAAAACAAAATTTATCCCTGTACATTAGCTAACCAGTTACCAAATTGAATTTCCTCCTGTTCCTGGTAAGAAGCTATTTTCAACCTTTACTCTGTTCATATCACCACTCTAGCACCTTTACTCCTGAGGAAGGATTTGTTCCTATACAATGAAAAACAAAGACTACAAGACCATTGATTTCAATTCTGGTCCCAGTGACTTCATGGGACCCCAGTACTGATTATCAATATCAAAACTACTTGAAAAAAAAATAGATATGTGTATGCTATTATCTCAGTAGAGAATTTCCTGCTAAAGAGTGCACATCAGACACACACTACTGCAACACTAATAAATATAACCTTCCCACAACTGCCTGGCCATCTAAGTACTCCTAAGAAAATGTATACTGTGGAAAAGTGAAGGCCAAACACAGAGCAATGAAGAAAGTATGTATTGCTTCCAAGTTTCTTAGAGGTGTCTTTCCCTCCCAAACACCCCCCCCCCCAAGACAGGGTTTCTCTGTATAACAGGCCTGGTTGTCCTGGAACTCACCTGCCTCTGGCTCCCAAGCACTGGGATGAAAGGTGTGCACCACCACCGCCCAGCTCTAAGAGGTCTTTATGCACAATTCTCAGCCTCCTTTAATTCATCCTACATCATCTCTAAAACTGTATTTATAAATGGTACTTCAATCAAGCGTTTTGTAATTACGTGCAGGCTTGCCCTAGAACATTTCACACATGGGTACAGGGTACATAACTTATTGAGATCGCTTTTTAAAAATTTGAGCGTTTATTTACATCTAGAGATAAGAAAATATTTAAATAAGAAACATTTTTAGATAATATGATTTTTAGATTATATGATTAGATTAAATCACTTCCCTCTTCCCTTTCTTCCCTTCAACTCCTCTCATGTACTTACAACTCTGCTCTCTTTCAAATTTATGGGCTCCTTTTGGAGATTTTTTTCAAGGGTGATATAAAGTTTTTTTTTTTTAAATCCCTTTACATTTTTGAGATAGAGTCTTAACTATCCTAGGCTGACTTGAACCTGCTATGTACTCAGATTTACCTTGATTTCTCATCTAGTGGTGAGATTCTAGGTATATGCTAACAAACTAGGTTTATGTGGGGCTGGGGCTTCATATACATACATAAATACATACATACATACAACATACTTACATACTCTCTCCTCCCTCCACTACCACAATGCAAGAAAAGTGATATACAAACCAGTAAATAAATTCCTAATCCATGAGAAATTTTCAGCTTCATAAATTACCAAACTAAAGCATAAAATCAAAAATTATTAAGCTATTTCAAGACTCAGAAAGATAATTACCCATAAATAGGAAACAAACAAGAGTAAGAAAGGGATAGTTAAATGGAAATAATTGCAAAGTAAAATTTTTTAAAATTTACAATAGTAAAATAAGAAAATTTCAGGGCCTAAAGAGATGGCTCAGCAGTTAAGGACATGGGCTGCTCTTCTAGAGAATCAGGGTTCAATTCTCAGCACCCACATGGCAGCTCACAGTTGCCTGTAACTCCAGTTTCAAGGGATAAAGCATCCCCAAAGAAGACATATATGCAAGCAAAATACCAATGACCACAAAACTAAATTATATAAAAAAGAAAAATTCAGAATAAAAATTCCAATGAGAATAATAATAATGAAGAATGAACATAATTTGCAAAATACCGGAAACATACAACTTACTCTTTTATATCACGAAGTTGATCAACATCTTGTGATCTTGTAAAATCAGGATCATGGGCTAGCAGGTGAATCATGTATGGGACCACATATTCAGGCAGCAGTGATAACAATTTCTCTAAAATAAAAAAAAAAAAAAAAAAAAAAAAAAAAATCATAGTTAACAAGAACATCTTTTATAAATTCCCTCAGTATTTGAGTTCTAACCATTTGTTTCTATTTTTCTCTCAGGTATTTACAAGCAGAAGCGAATGTGTATTCAGAAGACACTGCAATATTTTTACTTTGATCCTAAAAGAAATCAAAGCCAAAAGATAAACAAATTACAGTAGATGACTGGAACAGCCAGGGGGAAAAAGCATATACTTTTTAACATCTGAGCAATGTATGCAAATTAAACCACACTACTGGTTACATAAGAAAAATAGTTACCCAGAACTCTCTATCTCTCTTTCTCTTTCTTTTTTCTGGGACAGGGTTTCTCTGTGTCACAGCCCTGGTTATCTTGGAACTTGCTTTGTAGGCCAGTCTGGCCTCCAACTCAGAGATCCACCTGCCTCTGCCTCCAAAGTGCTGGGATTAAAGGCCATCATCATTCATGTACCGAAAACAATTTAAAGCTAAACATCACTCCAATACAAGAATCCAGTTTCGACACATACTACAACTATAATGATAACATTCTATAATGTTAACCATTTTAGTATAAACTCAGCAGAAATGAGTGCCCCCCTCTAATATACACCGTGAGCTACTGCAGTAGTTTGAATGTAACTGGCACCCATAAACTTAGAAGGAGAGATAGTATTAGGAGGCATGGCCTTGTTGGAGAAGTGTGTTACTGTCTCACATGTGATCAAGCCACACCTACTGTCCCAGTTCACTTTCTGTTGTTTGCAGGATCAAGATGTAACTTAACTCTTTCTCCACTTTCAGATCCTTTCCCAGCACCATGTCTGCCTGTACACCCCATGATAATGGACTAAACCACTGAAACCGTAAGCCACCCAAAGTTTCCTTTATAAGAAATGCTGTTATCATGGTGTCTCTTCATAGCAATAGAAACCCTAACTAGGACAACAATTAAGTACATACCAGTAGCCATTGGGTTTTGTTTAATGTACTCCCTTCGTATGCTGATGTTCTTTAGTAAACACTGGCGTGCGTGTGCTCTTCTTTCCTTTACAGGGTCTTTGGCACACAAAGCAAAGATTGCCATATACTCCAATGGGAGCAGTAACTTCACAAGTGCCTTATGAAGCTTCTGGGCAAATATTTGCCTTACTTGGTAGCACTCATCCTACATCAGCACAAAAACAAAGACACACAAGATGGGTAAACATTTGCTTACACACACGCATGCACCTTAAAAACATTTTGTGTTTGTTTAAAAATTATAATGGCCGGGCAGCGGTGAGGGACACCTTTAATCCCAGCACTCAGGAGACAGAAACACGTGGATCTCCTGAGTTTGAGGCCAGCCTGATTTACACAGTGAGTTCCAGGACAGCCAGGGATACACAGAGAAACCCTATCTCGAAAAACAAAACAAAAATTTAAAACGATGATTATATTTGAGCAATGGAAATAATCTCCTCTGTCTGTGTATCTACATTATTAAATGTTTCTATACTCAATGAGAAGTAAATGCATTCAACTTTGAAGAAAAGGATTTGAAAGAAGTTTTCCACTTACATTAATAACAAGTGCACAGAGCTGAAACTGCTCTGGGGTAATAATTTCATGGTAACAAGGTTCCTGAGCAAGCTTCATTATGGCACTACCAGCAGCTAATCGCAAGCGAGACATATCAGATTTACTATAAACAAACAGAAAGAAATAAACATTTCCTATAAACATTACACATAAAATTCTTTGCTTTTTGATAAGATTGATAGTAGGTAACTTAATGTGCAAATAAAGTCAGTGACTTTGTGTGGATGAACTCAACCCAGAGAAAAGGTTCAAGTCACCTGTGGCTTCTACCCATGCTCCACCTTTAACCTTTCACCCAACCAAGCAATTCTTATTTTACGAATCAAACTACTTATAATGATAAGAAACGCTACACTAGTTTCATCACAATCCGTATTCCTTACGCCAAGAACACTATTTATTGTGAAAACTTGATTTAAACAACCAAAGAAATAGAAGTCAATCATATATTTAAATCTATTTACCATGTCACATACATCTATAAACATTAAGACTACATTAATCCCACACATTTTATGAATAGCAGCCAATTATAAAGAACCCAATGTTTCACAGGAAAAGAGATATAGAGAGTAGAATATGGATGTATCAGTATTAACATATATAAAAGGGAAGGTATGAAAGTTTCAAGGTTCCACAAGAATATGAAGACAGAATCCACTAAGCAAGAAATCCCTAATTTTTTTTAATATGACATGGAAAGGAGTATTACTTAAGTTTAGACGTACAAACAGTTAAAACATTTTTTTCTAGGTCAACTGGTAGTATTGAGCCTTCAGCTCCACTGTGGATTGTGCCTATGACCTCTTTACAAAGCACTTCAAAACATTGTAAAGGTATGCCAAATATGAAGTTTTCATTATTGTAAGCCCAGCTCTAATCATTCTAGCATACTCACTATAAAAATGTTGGGTTTTATATTGTGTTTACTTTTGCATATCACTTCAACTTATCAAAGCATTAAGCACAATGACAGTAATCTCACTACACTGAAAAGTGAAAGTTATCCATTTTTCTTTTTGCATCTAGACTTTTCTTGAAATCAACAAAGTCTTCTATTCTCTCTTTTTTTTGAGCTACAATTAAGTCATTTTATTATCTTTAAGTCATTCCACTAGTTCAATCACTTTACAGGGTGATCTGTTGCTACACTTTCATAGTGTTACAAAGAGTAGACATTCAACAAATAACTGATTATTCTCCAAATGTTTACTAACACCGAAATGGTTATAATGAAAAGTTTATCAGCAGACATTCATAGGTTTTGGAAATGGCAAACATATACTAACATTCAAGAGAGATAACTCCTAAGCTTGCAGTGCAATGACATGCAGTACCAGTCAGGGAATTAACTCTATGCATCTCTCACCCAACCTTAGGGACAAGGAAAGTAGGAAGAGAAATGCTCACCTGATCCTCTTCTGCTCTGTCAGGTCACCCTCACTAACCAACATTGCCGATAATAACCGAAGGGTTGAGTTGGCAGACTTAGACTGGTTGTTCTTCATACCCAACAGCCACCTTACCAGAAGTTTAATTGCCTGTACCTATAAGATATGAACATGCTAAAAAAAGAGAGCAACTTAAAATTCCAATTAAAGGGAGGATTGATTTTAACTAATTTGATTAATGACATTACTCATCCTTATCAGCAGGTATTTTACTACTCAAGGTAATGAGATAGAAAGAGTAACAATAAGAAGTAATATCATTCTCTGTTCAATCCATAAATGCACTTCTCCCACAGCTGTACATGCTTTATTCCCACAGAGAAGGCAAATGATACACATTAGGTTAGGAGATCAGGAGAGGATAGGAGAGGTCAAGCAGGTGGGAGGAGAGAAGAATGGTACAGCGATGTAGTCGTAGACAAATGGTCATTTTGGGGATATGCCAACAGTCAGGATTCAGACAGAGGCCAGTTTGGACAGCCAAGGCTACAGAGAGAAACCCTTTCTCAAACAAACAAAGAAACAAAAAGGGGAAGAGGGGTTGATTTTACTTGTTTCAGAGTCACTACAAAGCCCTGGCTGCCCTAGAACTCACTATGTAGACCAGGCCCCTGAGGAAATTTAAATTTAATACTTTGATGGGGAATGTCCTTCTGTTTATATGTTTCTCTTATTGGTTGATGAATAAAATACTGACTGGCCCAGTAACCAAGCAGGAGTCATAAGTGGGACTACCAGACCAGGAGAAGGCTGAGGACAGAAAGGCAGAGAGAGGAAGGGAAGAGACACCATGTTGCCAAAGAGGTAACATGCCAGATTACAGGTAAGCCACAGCCTCGGGGCAATACATAAAGTAATAGAAATGGGTTACTAGGGCTGGAGAGATAGCTCAGTGGTTAAGAGCACTGGCTGCTCTTCCAGAGGTCCTGAGTTCAATTCCTAGCAACCACATGGTGGCTCGTAACCATCTACAATGAGATCTGATACCCTCTTCTGGCCTGCAAGCAGACAGAACACTGTATATATAATAAATAAATAAGTATTTAAAAAAAAGAAAAGAAAAAAGAAATGGGTTAATAAGACAAAGCTAGCCAATAAATAAGAAGGCTAAGCCATTGGACAAACATTTTATACTTAATATAAGTCTTTGTGTGTTTATTTGGGGCAAAGTGGCTGTGGGACCAGGTAGGACAGAAACCTCCATCTTCAATTATTGGATAATTACGCTTAACAATGATTAACTGGACATTTCAAAAAAGTAGCTACCAGAAGGACTATGGACATTCTTAATACAAAGAAATGGTATGTGCTAAGTATCCTGATCTAATCATTATACATTATAATGTAACTCTACTAAACCCATGCTAATTAAAAATATTTAAAGGCTTTTGTATAATTGTAGTATTAGAAAACAGTTGAATATATCAAGTCTGGTTCATCTTAACACATCTTGACTAAAATGGAGTTCACAAAATTACTTGTGGTCTTAATTATTGAATTACTGTTATCAACATACATGAAGAGCTAGTTAAAGATGTAAGTGCTTTACTGGCATCTGGTAAAAATATACGATTACAAAATACAATAGGCTCACATATAATGAATGGATCAGGCTGTAGTACCCAGTATCAGAACTCTGACCCAGTATAGATAGGGGTATATTAAGAGTTGAAACACTAACCCAGCATGTGTGGTTAAATTCCCAGCATCAACTCATACCCCTTAAAAAGCAATCCATAAACAATGGCAACTACAAGTCCTTAGAGAAAGATTAATTTACAATGAATTTTCCAATAAGGCACCCTGGGGCTGGAGAGAGGGCTCAGCAGTTCTGAGTACTACTTTCCCTTATAAAGGATCTAAGTTTGTACCCATCACCAACAGGGTGACTTGCAACTCTAGTTTCAGGGGAACTTAGACTCATGTGTACATGCATGCATTTGTGAACATATAAGCACACCCCCACCCCATAACCACACACACAAGCAAGTAAATAAAGCAAGCAGCTCACTAGAGAAAGCCCAGAACACCCATGAGCATTCCTTTTCCCAACAAAAAGGTCATTAATACCTATCCAAATTTACCTTTGCTAGTACTTCAGGAGAAACTTCCTCATCTGGAGACCATAATTTTCCATTCTTCTCACCTGTTGACTATAGACAATTGATGAAATTTAGTTTTTTCATCTTGTGTAATATATATATGTGAAAATATATAGGTAAAAGAACTTAGAAATGGAGAACAAAATTAGAAGAGCCACACTATCCAACTTCAAAACATACTATAAACTTCTGGTAATGAAGATTATAGAGCAAGGTAATATGAAAGGGAAAAACTTTTTATTAAAAAAAAAACTTTTATTATAAGGATCAATTTGACAAAAGCACAAATTCCAAGTTGTGGGTAAAGAATGATTTTCTCAACAAATAGACTAAAAACTGTGTACTAGCAAACATCACCTAAAAGGAAAAGGATACTAGGCTAAAACTATAAACTCAGTAACTGACAACATCAGAAGAAATCTTTGTTACTTTGCACTTAGCAAAGAAGGGTTTAATACACAGAATGTATAAATAAACCTTGCTGGTACAATGTTGAATGCCTACAATCCCAGAATTTGGGAGGGAGGCAGAGCTAAAAGCCAGCCTTTGTTACAACATAAGAGTTCAAGCTCAACTCAGACTACATGAGACCCTAACTCCAAACCACCAAAACTTAGCACCTTCACAATAACAAAACAACTAAAAGTACAAGGACCTACCTGAGCAGATGGCTCTCCAAAAGACACACAGATGCCAAGTAAACACACAGAAACAAGTCTAAATAACATAAAAAAGCAAACCACACCCATAATAAAAGTATCATTTCATAGTCAGGCAATAGTGGTGCATGACTTTAATCACAGCACTTGGGAGGCAGACAGGAGGATCTCAGTGATTGTGATGCCAACCTGATCTACAAGGTGAGGCCCAGAACAGCCAAGACTATTGTTACACAGAGAAACCCTGTCTCGAATAACCAAAAAAACAAAACAAAACAAAACAAAACATCATTTCATATTTATTCCCTCAAAAAGCAAAAGACCAAGGGTCAAAAAGGATATAGAGAAACTAGAAACTAGAGGCTAGGTGGTGAAAAGATTAAAAAGGAACAGACACTACAGTAACCAGTCTTGTAATATCTAAGTGTCCAATATAGAATAATCGTGTGACTCAGAAATTTTACTTTTAGTTACTTATGCAAAAGAATAGAATATGTTCTGGTTGTATATATGACATTAATTACAATTGCCAAAAGGTGGAAACAATCTAAAACTATTAAGAAACAAAAAGTGAAATATACAAATGAGTATTTCTCAGGAGGAAAGAAAATACATGAAATTTTATTTAATACCACAATTCAATGAATCTTGAAAATATGCCAAGGGAAAAAAAATCTAGATTATAAATGGACAAACATAGACAGTAAGATATCTAGACTAAATCAACAGAATCAGCATGTAGAGGCTATAAGGAGCTATTATAGGTTAATTCCTTAAAATGCAGAAGAGTGTTTCTATTTGGGAAGATAATAATATATCTCATGAATGCCAGGGAGACAGTTCAGGGAGAAAAGATATCTGCCTCCAAGCTGGACAACCTGTGTTTAATCTCCAGGACCCACATGGTCAAAGGAGAGAGCTGATTTCATTAGATGCCCTCTGACCTTCACAAACACATAAATGCCCTGTGATGCATTCCTCAACTAAATAAAAAGATGTAATAAAACCTTTTTACAGAACAGGCATGATGGTACATGCCTTTAATTTAGCACCCAGACGGAAGAGGCAGGCAGATCTCTGTGAGCTTAAGGCCAGATTGATCTACACAGTGAGTTCCAGACCAGCCAAGCCTATATAGTAAAGTCGTGCCTCCTTAAAAAAACTAAGCTAAAAATCAGGTTGAATATGATATTTAATTCTAGCACTTGGGAGGCAGAGGCAGGTGAACCAGCATAAAGAGTTAAGGCCAACGTGGTCTACATATCCAGTTTCAGGTCAGTCAAGGATATACAGTGAGACCATCTCTTGAAAAAACAAAATAGAAGACTAGCCCGGGGGATGGACAGAGGATAGTGGAACTGACTGAACCAAAAGGGTAAAAACATCAGTTATGTTAAGACTCATATGTATGATTATATATTTATACTCTGTATTAACTACAGAGTATATCAAGCCAGTTGTGGTAGCTTAGATCCTCTTCTGAACAAGAACACAAACCATTCTTAACGTGATGGACCACTGTGAATGACTTGTTTACTTAATCCCCATTTTCTCTAACTTCGTGAAAGAGTAGTCTAGACTGCTCAATGATACACTAAAAAGAAAAATTCTGTGCTGCTAGATCCCTTTAAAAACACACTGTAGGGGCTGGAGAGATGGTTCAGTGGTTTAGAACAATTGCTGTTCCTGCAGACAGCCTAGGTGCTATTTCCAGTACATTGTGGCTGTCTCTATCTCCACATCTAGAGGATCTACAGGACTTTTCCTGGCCTCCACAGCATTGCATATGGTGCACAGATATACATGCAAGCAAAACATCCAAACACATAAACTAAAAATGAATGGCTGGGTGGTAGTGGTGCAATGCCTTTAAACCTAGCATTAGGGAGGCAGAAGCAGGCAAGATCTGAGAGTTCAAGACCAGCCCGGTCAACAGAGTGAGTTCCAGGACAGCCAAGGCTACACAGAAACCCTGTCTTGAAAACAAAAAATGAATCTTTAAAAAAGAAACAATAATTTTAAGTGACAGTTATATTAATAGGGTACAGTGTGAAATTTTAAAACTTGAACAAAGTGACTAAGGGTTTGATCCTAATAGGCACATGATTTATCTCATATCTAACATGTAAAGTATGTGCCTAGGCTTAACACCTCCCACCGGATATAGAAAAACTGTTTTTGTGATAAAGACATAGACAACCTTAAGCTCACGACTCTAAATTTAATAATTACATTAGAAACTTACTCTGTCATTCATCAGAAGATCTTTAACAATAAAGTTTGCCACCACAGATTTCATTGGGGAAGCAAACTGATCTGGTGCTAACATGGAAATGTGGCCAAGTGAAACTAATGGAGTTATAAGTTGTTCTGGTACATCAGCATTCAGACTCCTACTGAGTGGCTATGAAAACAAAACAAAACAAGAAATCACCAATTGGTTTTCTAAGCATTTAGATTTTCTACAGTCCTCAAAAATTTAACATGTCCAAGTCAATCCGTTTTACTGATATGATCATAATTGATTTTAACCATTTTAGATATTTGGCTATTTCTCCTACTGAAATATAATTGTGGTGGTTCAAATGAGAATAGCTTCCATAGGCTCGCATGTTTGAATGTTTGATCCCCAGTTACTGAACTGTTTTGGGAAGGATTAGGAGGTGTTACCATACTCGAAAAGGTGAGTCACTAGGGGTGAGCTTTGTTTTAAAAGCACACATGTCTCTCTCTCTGCCTGCAACTTGCAGGTAACATGTGAGCTCTCAGATACTTCTCTAAAGCCATTCTTCTCTGCCAGCTGCCATGCTTACCACCATGATGGTCATGTGCTAATTCTCTGAAACTGTAAACTGTAAATAATTTCTTTTGTAAGTTGCTTTGGTCATGGTGTCTCATCACAGTTATAAAACAGTAACAACTAAGACAAATAAAAAACGGAAAAAATAGATAAAAAGGATAAAGGGGAAAAATACAGCCCAAATAAAAGACACCTTTTACCAAATCTGCATTATTTTCAATCTCTCTGCATTTAATTTGTTATGTTGGTGGAATTTTTTATATATATACTGATATTTTTAAACAACCTTGAAAAATAAAAAGTAAAAGTTCATCTCCAATTTAATAAGAGCCTTTCAAGTTGCTTAATAATAACTCTACCTTTCAAGAAGCAGAATCTGTCCCAGGATCATAATCAAAGACTGACAAGAGATTAGTGTTCAAAAATGGGTGGCCATAGGTACCTAGCAAGCAGTTCAACCATCTATCAACAGTCTGACATGACTAAAGGAGAACAGTCTCAAATATAAAACATTCTCCAGTATAAAATATGTGAACCTAGAATAAAAGTTAAAATAACAGTGCTGGGTAGACAAGTGCTCTGAGAACTTACATTTTAATGTAAGAATACATGTAAACAGGTTTAAAAACCTAGACTCTAGCTTTACCAAATTACAGAGACTGACAGAAATTAATGGAAACATATTCTATGTATACCTCAAAAATCTGTGCAAGCTGGACTTCCTTATTTGAGAAGATGGCATGGATACAGTGCACAGCCTGTTTTGCTTGGTGTGGAGTACCTCTCTTTGCTTTCTGATGTAAAATGGGAATCAAGGTGCTGCAAAAAAGTCATAATACAGTTGTATTTTTCTGAAGCATACAAATCCCTAACATTTTTTCTATTCATCATTTCCCCTACTCAATCAGGTCTGTGCTGATAGAAAAGGCTTTCTTAGAAATTATTTGGTTGATATACATACAATTTCTCAGAGGCTATTTTAAGCAAACAATTTTCATTTTAAAGCCAGTTCATGAATATAGAAAACTAAACTAGCTATACTTAATTAATAATGTAAAACTTGCCCCAGGGCATATTAACATTTACCTTCTAAGTAGACATTCCTAATTTTCCAGTTCCCTTATAATTCCCTTCAGTTATTTCAAAAAAGCCATGAAAAAACAGTAGCAAAAGGCCAAGTTTTATTAGGCAGCTAAAATGATCCAATAAGAGTGAGTACACACAGATACAGTTACATACAGTTTGGTAAAATAATCATCCAGTACATGGGTATATAGCTATGATTTGAGGTGTTTTCAACTTGGATTAATTCAACTAATGAATAGTAACACCCAGAAAGAACTATTATTTATACCCATAGTAAGGATAAGAAAGATAGAACGTAAAAATTTGTCAAAACTGCCAAAGGTTATACAGACAGGAAAAGCTGAAGCTGGACTAAAAGGTAAAATTGGAATTTGAAAGTAAAAATTCACTTAAAGCCTGGCATTGGTGGCACAAGCTTTTAATCCCAGTACTTGGGAGGCAGAGGCAGGTGGATCTCTATGAGTTCGAGGCCAACCTGGTATACAAAGCTAGTTCCAGGACAGGCTCCAAAGCAATACAGAGAAACCCTGTCTCAAAAAACCAAAAAACAAAACCAAAAAACAAAAAAAAAAAAAAAAAAAAAAACAAAAAAAACAAAAAAAAAAAAAAAAAAAAACCAAAAACTCACTTAAAAGCTGGGTGGTAGTGGCATACACCTTAATCCCAGCACTCAAAGGCAAGAGGATAATCTCTATAAGTTCGAGGGCAATCTGGTCTACAAAGGGAGTTCTAGGACAACCAAGCTGGTACACAGAGAATCCCTGTCTCGGGAAAAATTAAAAGTGAAAAAATTCATTTAATCATTATACTAACATGAAACATTAAACTAAAAATCTTTCAATGAGACAATATGAAAACAAATATAAAAAAGCAATAAATCCTGACTATATGGCAAAACATGTATATGAATGAAATACATTCATTCAAACCTACAAAATAGGCACATACATGAAGTAGACATACATGTATTCTAAAACATTAGTGACAACACTCTTTTATTTTCCTCGCCACATCTCCAAACCCAGGAGATGATTTATGCATACTATGTAAACACTACCATGGAGGCACATACCCAGCCTTAGTTTCAGCTTTCCAGGTAAACATATAAATACTTTTTATAATGAAGTCTGTACAGCAACAAAACTCAGCAGCAAATATTTGTTATAACTTCAGTACAATTAGAAAAGATTCTATTTTATAAAAACAAAAAGTTGATGCTGTCAAATACAAAGGCCTGCTTAAAACAAGAGTTCCACTACAATAGCAATATTCAAGGCCACAAGCACTACACCTCAATCACAAACCAAAACAGCCCAGAACACTGCTGTCACTGTAATTCTAACAATGTTTATGACCGTCTCAAGCCTGTCTCCACAGAAATCCAAACTATGAGATAGGGGTTTCCATGTCTAAATAGCCTTGCTAGCCCAAGCACCATTTGGTCTTTTGGTCATAAGCTCACTACTATTAATACTGGTGAGCAGCTAAGAAAATTGGTACCATTATCAATTACCAAGCAACTAATAAATATTTTATGATGAACACTATTTAATTCCCCTATTTTTCTGTTGGGACAGGAAGGCAGAAGCTACTTAATTTATACCCAATTTGAAATAAAGATATGTACATTAGACAATACACCAATAATAAATGTTAAAATATTTAATTATGTTTATGTGCCTGTGTGTGGGCATGCATACTTGAGTGCAGGTGCCTGTGAAGGCCAGGTGTCAGATCTGCTGGACTAGGACTACAGCCATTGTGAGTGCTGGGAAACAAACTAGGATCTTCTGCAAGCACCTCTCCAGGCCCACAACACAGTTTTGATCAAGCAGAAAGTATATGAAACGTTCTTAAAGGCAAGCCTAAAATGATACAAAAATAATCTTTCTCTTTTTGTTTTGTTTTTCTAGAGTACTATAATGCAATGGTGCTATCAGGGTTGTTACTGCAGTCTTTATAATGTGTTTATGCTTTTCTGCGATTCTTTCATCCCCTACCACTCTTAAGAACAAAAGGTTTTCTTCTTTGATTCTAAAGATAACTATTCTACCTACATCTATGTTTCCAATGCTCCTTTTGATACAGCATTCTTTTAAAAATAGATCTCTTATCTTAAAATATATAACTATTCTAAGCCTAGCAGAAAACGTCATAAATTTTATATCCTAATGTGTTAATCATCTTTTTTCCCCTTCGGTAAATAGGGGCTTGAACCAGGGAGAGTATCATGTATGCCAAGTAAGTATTCTCCCACTAAACTCTGTCCTTAACACACTTTACAATTTTTTTTGCGACAAAGTCTTCTTGCCTGTTTGCAGACATGTTCTAAGCCTAGTCCTAATGATCTTTTTGGTTGTATATACAGGTATATAAACAAGAACATTTTAGACCACAAGCTCTTTGAAGAGAGGAATCAACTGTATCAGAGAAATTAAATTTAATAAAACCTTAAGGCGTCTATATGTACTATAATTATTACATTACAAGACAAATCTTATTTGTATTTGGATTTACTATGAATTTGCACATACAATGAACATTTGATGCGACAGACAATATCAACATGTTCCATGTCTCCCACCCTTACCATAAATGTAATCCTAAGATGTTAAATAAAAATATACAAATGTACTTTATTTTTATGATTATTATCACCATTATCAAATACCAAGCAATTAATAAATACTTTATGATGCACACTAATTGCCATATTTTTCTTTGTTGGGACAGGAAGATCACAGCTACTGAATTTATAGCCAGTTTGAAAGAAAATACAAACACATAGACTAGAAAGATACATTAGTCACAAATACAGTGAAATATTTAATTTTGTGACAACTTTTGATTACTAAAATTTTCAAGATATCTCTTTTTAAACAAACAGTTGTACTTTGTTCCTCTACATTAACTAATTGTGATAGGATGGAGCAGAAAGAGAGGGAATGGAGACTAAGGCAGACAGAAAATTAGCACAAAAGTGTGAGTTTTTCTTTCTGCTCCCATCTTCCTCCATGAAAGAGAAATCAAGAACTATTGCTCCTGAACCCATTAATTTCTGTTTACCAGGTTTAAAAAATGTATATACATACATAATATATATACTCACGATCTTATCTGGGGAAGGTCTGTTTCTATTTTGTGGCCTGTGTTTCTAAAAATTTGTATTGCAGCTTCTGCTACCTTGTCATCCTCCATTCTTAGGCACTGTAACAAGGACTCATATGTCTCTGCAGAGTGGAACGAGGTAGGATGTGTGAAAGACAGAACCTGGAGGAATAGATACACCTTATTTAAGAGTACAGACAATAGTTCTAACCTATTAAAAAAGGAGATTTCTTTCAACAAATACAATAGTGTACATATGCTAGTTCCACCACATGGAATACAGATTACCTTATTTCAGCCACCATTGCAGTTACTTTTACTCATGAGACACTAATGAAAATAGTGCATGGCCACTTCCCTAAGATAGCTATTATGCCACGTTTGACTTAATCACTTCCTATCTTGGTTCACACTGGTACTTACAATAAAGAATTTCTACTGTGTGCTCACGTGTTTTTAGGTACATATGCACGACCGTGTTTATGGAGTCATAAACACATTTTTGGCATCACATTTGAGAACCAAGTTCAGTTTGAGACAGGCCTTCTTACTGCCATAGAGCTCACTAACTAGTGAGCCACTGGACCATCCTGTTTCTCCTTCCTCAGTGCTAGAATCACAAGCCTGCTACCAAGCCAGACATTTTTACTTGGGTAGTAGGATCAAACTGAGGAGCTCGTGATTGCAAACCAACTTCTTGACAAACTGGAAAGGCTTCTTTCTTTTAAAATAATTCACTTTATGTGCATTGGTGTTTTGGCCTGCATGCATGCCTGTCGGGTACCCTGAAAGTGGAGCTACAGACAGTTTGAGGTGCCACGTGGGTGCTGGGCACTGAACCTGGGTCCTCTGGAAGAACAGTCTGTGCTATTAACCACTGAGGCAGCTCTCCAGCCCAGAGGCTCATTTCTTATGGAAAGTCTTATGGAAGGTGATCTTCCAATACTAGTAAGTACTCATCAGCTTATGCATATATTTAGGTATGATCTTTTTTATTTGAAATACGCTCTAGGTTTATTGATATTTACAAAAAATACAGTTCTGACTGTCAAAATAATAATCTATACAGAAATATGCCAAGTGAAATCCTCACAGAAAGTTCATATATTGCAGCTTTCAATAATGAAGACATTATTGTGGACTTTTAATTACAAACATGTAATTATTAGCTTGCTTATTTGGACATGAGCCCTACCCAGTTTTTTACCATTAAGGAACTTATACCAGCTTATATAAGAAATGACTACAATCTTTATAATGTATGAATGATTAGACTAGCCTCTATTAGATACAAGAGCCATGTAAAGAGGAAGCAGTCCAGCTTGTTCTTGAAAAGTAAATATTACATACACCCTAAGTAATGTACAGAAATGGGCCCACGGAGGTTTTTTTTTTTTTTTTAATTTACAGAAAAACTGGTGAATTCCATTTTCAAAACGGACAAAAAACAGTACATTAAAACTCTGGGCCTTGGATCTCTGTGAGTTTGAAGTCAGCCTGATCTACACAGTTCCAGGACAGCCAGGGCTACACACAGATGATATCATATAACAACTCCAATTGTTATCAACTGCCTCATTTCTTTAACAGTAAGACTGGATTATTTAGCATACATGGTCACAGGTATAGCAGGAATGCAAAAGGTGATCAGAAATAGATTTCTTTTAAAAAGATTTATGAACACTGGGGTTTTGTTTACATGTATGTCTGCATGAGGGGTCGAGATCCTCTGGAATTGAGTTATAGACAGTCGTGCCATGAGGCTGCTAGGAATTAAACCTGGGCCCTTGGGAAGAATGTCCAACTGTTGAGCCATCCTCCAGTGCCCAGAATAGATGTTTTTAAAAAAGATGCTACTGTATAATGTAAAATAATTATATGATGATACAAAAATGATTTTGTAAGATCTGATATCCAGACAAGCCTGGTAGCAGACATCTATAATCATAGTACCTGGCAGGCTGAGATATATCCAGTCTGGGATATAGAATGAAACTATGTTAAAAAAAAAAAAGAAAAAGAAAAAAAAAACTTTAAAAAAATTGTAATTTCTACCATGAAATTTTATCTTTTGAATAATTTAAAGTAAAATAAGCCTGCTCTTGCATACCCTAAAGGGAATGCCATTATGAATCTTTGGAAATAAATGGAGAAAAAAATTGTTGTAAAAATACCTTAAGAAGTTCAAGTCCTGAGCGAATGGCTGAATCTGGACTTACACCCTCCTCTTCATCATCTGCTGTCCCTTCTATTGATTTATTCATCAATTTTACTAGTGCACTATTAAAAAAAGGAAATGTAAATTAGTAAGACTGCTTAGACTAGTAACTGAATCCTAAGAAAAATATGATAAACAGAGAATTTAAAAAGGCAATGGTTAAAGAAGTTTCTGTAACATGACCATAAGTACTGACTACTCAATAGATAAGCGTACTGTTATGTTATCTTACCCAAAACTTAAAGTATAATAACAACAACAATTTGACTAGAAATATTAATATTACCTATTGCAATATTAATTTCTACATATAAATACACTAATTCAAATAAAAACAATAAAAAAGGTTTATAATTGAGTGGATGGGAGTGGGATTGGGATGAGAGAAAGGGAAGGAAGGGGGATTGGGGTTGGTATTCAACATGGAAAATAATTTATTAAAAAAAGTTCAATAATTGGGCAAATGGCCACTCCTAACAAAATTCAGATGATAAGGCAGGCAAGATGGCTCAGTAGGTAAAGGTGCTTGCTGTCAAGCTTAATGACCTGAGATTGACCCCTGGAAGCCACATGATGGAAGACAAGGATTCCTCAAAGCTGTTCACTGACCTCCAAATAGGTGCTACATGTACATGTGCTACATGCAAATAAATGCAATGTAAAGATCCAGTAGTGTACATGTACAAGGAATGTAGTATTAATTGCACTAGCAAATTAATCTATATAATTGATAACTCTATTCAAAGAAATTAACAAAGTCAATTAATCAGAAACATGCTGTATTCATAAACAGATGCAATAGATACCACATACTTGTATGAAAATTATCCTTTCATATATTTACCACCACAAAATAGAGTATTACTTGATTGATCAAAATCACAATCTGTAATAAAATAGACCTTTTGTTGTGTGTTTGCTTATTTTGCTTTTCCAAGACAGAGTTTCTTTGTGAAACAGCCCTGGCTGTCCTATGCTTCTTGAGATGACTGTGTAGACTTTCCCCTTTGACTTCCTTGTTCTCTATGTAGCCCTGGCTGTCCTGGAACTTACTTTGGAGACCAGGCTGGCCTTGAACTCACAGAGATCTACCTGCTTCCACCTTGTGAGTGCTCTAATTAAAGGCGTGTGCCACCACCACCAGGCTGACCTGTTTGTTTCTGAGACAAGATCTCACATGTATCTCAGGCTGACTTCTTTTGGTCCTTCTTGAGTCAAGTCTCCTGAATGGTACTGCACAAGACCAGGACTACAGGTATTTACTTACTTACTTTCCCTGACTAAATTGGTAGTAGCATATATATATATATATATGAATGACCAGGAATGTAATTCTTAGAAAGACTGCCCAATTTATCAAGCTCTGACTTTGACCCTCTGTGCCACACAGAACTGTTGGTGCTTGTATATAACTGCAGTACAGGGAAAGCTAAAGTGGGAGGCCTGCCATGAGTTCAAGGCCAATATGGGCTATACAACGAACATCACATTAGTTAAGGTTACACAGTAAGATGCCATCTCAAAAGACAGGGATGGGCCTGAGGGACAGAGAAAAATTCTTTTCCTTTAATGCCATAATTGCTTCAATCAAATTATGATTTGTTTTAGCAGATAGAATCTTTGCATATTGCCTGGACTTGCCTTTAACTCAGTCTCAGTGATCTTCCCACTCAGTCTGAGTAGATAGGACTAATGTACACCACTTGTAGAATTCAAAAATTTTCTGCTGTTGCCAAGACAGGGCCTCACATAGCCCAGGGTAGCCTTTAATTCAATACATAGCAAAGCATAGTCTAGTCTCTACATAATAACAACTGGAATTATAGGAATATGTCACCACTTCTGGCTACAGTAATAAAGGATAATTTTTTAAAAATACAAAGTATGAGCCTGAGTTGTGTAGTAGACAACTGCAGTATTAGAACTTGGGAAGAAAACTACAAGGGCAGAGAGCCAGAATGGACTACATACAAAGTGAAAACAAGATGGTGTAGAGATGGCTCAGGGAGTGAGATCACACATCACCACTCCTGTTCCAGAACCTATGTCAGGTGCCTCATCATGACTACCCATAATAACTTTAGCTCAAGGGATTGGACACCGTTTTCTGGCCACTGAGGGGACTACTCAACTGCTCTAACCCAACAAAGACACACACTTAAAATTAAAAATGAAATCTAAATATTCAAAAGTCTATTAAACATATCCAAAGTTTTTTCTCCATACATACTCAACTTGCCACAAATTCATTTTCTCCTTTACTTGAAAGTGCCTGTGCTTGTGGGAAATATTTACCCCTTAGATTTTCTCAACCACCAGTGTAGATGAGGGGTACTGCACTTCTGCAGTCTCCTGTGCTCAATAAAGTAATAGCACTTATTTATGTAGCACACAATATAGCTGTGGCTGGGGAGCAAGTTCTGAGTCTTTGTGAATCAACCAAGCCTTAGATTCACCTTTGGTATCCCAGAGAAAATGCACAGGCCATAGTTTTTTCCCTTCTTTCTTAAGCTAGCAGAGATTTTTTTTAGTACTCATTTAACTTCTGTGAGCCCTTTACCATCTAGTCTCTTCTCTTTCTTCTCTTTCTTTAAAGATTGACTTTTATTTTTTATGTATATGTGTCACATGCAGAGACCAGAAGATGGCATTAGATGTCTTAAAGGTAATGGTTATCAGCTGCCCGTTAGGGGTTCTAGGAACTGAACATGGATTCCCTGGCAAGAACAGTATATAAACTAAGCCTGGAGTGGTAATGCTCATTTTTAATCCTATACCCAGGAGGCATATACAAGTCAATCTCTATGAGTTTGAGGCCAACCAATGCCATGTAGAGAGATCCTACCTCAAAAAAAAAAAAAAAAAAAAAAAAAAAAAAAAAAAAAAGGGGGGGGCGCAGGAGGGAAGGAAAGAATAATATATGCTCTTAACTACAGAATAGAACTATCTTTCCAGAACTCTTGCATTTTACATATATTTATTTATCATGTATCAGTGTGTGACCACACACATGCCACAGCACAAATAAGGAAGAAACAGTTCTCGTCTACCATGTGAATCCTGGAGATCAAATTCCAATCATTAAAGTTGGTGGAAAGCACCTTCTCGTATTCAGACAACACATTAACTTAACCTTTATTATGGCTTACATAAAAATCATTCATAATACTCTACTTTATAACCATTCCTCCTATAAAATATCTTCATAATTTGATGACATCAATATTTCTTTGTGATTCAGTTCTTTCTCTTCACCTCTTTCCACTTTAATTTTATTTTCATTCCTGGGAATCAACCACCATTACAATGACTATTGTAATTCTAACACTTTTAAATAATTTCAACATGGATAATTTTCTGTTACTCTCAATCTTTTCTTTTTGTTTGTATTCTGAGAAAGGACCTCATTATGTAGACCAGGCTAGCTCCCAAATCACAGAGAACTGCCCACCTCTGCTATCTTAGTGCTAGTATTAAAGGAGTATAAAACTATACCTGACTAATATTTTCTTTTACAACCCTACTTCATAAGCTATACATGGTGGGTAACCTGAGCCTATCATTGTAATCATCAGGAGGCAGAGGCAGGAAGTTACTAATTTCAAGACCAACCTGGTCTATATAGCAAGTTCCTAGTTCAAGGTCAGTCACGGATATATAGTAAGACACTGCCTCAAGAGACCTAAATAGCTCGACAGTGGTGTCAAATTGCCTAAAATCCCAGTACTTAGGCAGATATCTAAATTTGAGGCCAGCCTGCTACACAGAGTGACTTCCAGTGCCAGCCTATTTAAATACTTAATTCCTTTCCCCCTTTTTGTCTGCTACTTTTCCCCTAAAACAAATGCCAATATTAGCCACGTATAATACACAAGACATGTTAAGTGTGAGATATGCTAAGTGTGTTAAATTCTTTTATGTATTATTTAAATGAATGACATTTGTATGCATATAAACCTCTCCATAACTTAAATAAGTAGTAATTATCATAGCTAATTTTATAGATGGGGGGGATCAAGCTCAGAGCACCTAAGTAACCCATAGACTCAAGACCAGTATACTGGATTATATTCCTGGGAGTCCTTAGTTGGCTAATTCCTATAATTTGTACTTTTTACCACTCATCAGATGTATGGCTTATTTTTGGAGCTTTCTATAACACATCCAGTCACACAGTTGGGTTATATAACTTAAATTTTACTAGGAGCACTATGTACTTTATGTATAGTTTTTTTTTTTTTTTTTTTTACCCACTAAGTCAAAACAGTAAGTCTTTTATTTATATCTCTGCAGATTTGGCTAAATATAAGGAATGACTTTTTTTTGAAGATAGGTCTCTCTATGTATTCCTGGCTGGCCCAGATCTCACTATGTAGATCGGGTTGGCCACAAATTAAAAGGAATCCATTTGCCTCTGCTTTTTAAGTGCTGAGATTAAAGGCCACCAATCCCAGCTATCTGGCACTTTTTTTCTCATAGAAATTAATACACAAGGCACTCTTATAAAATTACTCTGCTAGAAATCTTAACCAAAATCTGAGATCAAACAACTCCTGATGCTACTAAAATTTTTTCAGTTTTCAGAAGATTTTGTACACTGGGACTCAAACAACAGTAATCTGCTGACATAATGAACCCTGTGAAATTTCCTGATGCAACTGCACATCCTTTTCAGAATTAACATTCCTACCACATTGTATCTTTAATCTACTCATTAAACTGTGATGTTACAGAGCCAGGCCAGACTTGATTGATAAGAACATGCACTCAGCACGGGAAAGGCCCTGAATTCATCTCATACACACCAGACAGGGTAAGTGGGAAGTAAATGGTACAGATCAAAGGACACTTACAAGAAATAATATACCTACATTTTTTTTGAAACTAAGAACAAAAACACTTGTTCCTTTTTGTTATTATTGTTTTGTTTTTCAGTAGCTATGAAAACAATTCTGGAACTCCCTCTGTAGACCAGGCTGGCCTCAAACTCAGAGATCTTCCTGCCTCTGCCTCCTAAGTGCTGTGATTAAAGATGTGTGCCATCATCGCCTTGCTTATTCCATGTATGTATGCATGCATACATGCATTCATTCAGTCATTCATTCATTCATTCATTCATTTATTTGCAAAGAAGGAAATTAGATCAGGATGTCTTACTTTGGTAATAGTAAAACTCACGTTCTAAGCTGAACTGCTCCTCTATAACTCATAGGTTTTAGCCACCAGTAACTCAGAATGTGACTATATTGGAGACAGGGCATTAAAGAATAATTATGTAAAGTGAAATCATATGGATGAGGCTAAACTAGGATGCCTACTATCTTTAAAAGATAAATAGAGTAGGACACTTATTTATCCTGGGTACACAAAGGAAAGACCATTTGAAAAAGTATCAAGAAGCTGCTCTCCTGTCTCAAAGAGGAGAATGGCTTTGGAAAAAAATACATGTTGATGTCACATTGACCTTGAGACTTAGTTTCCAGAAGACTTAGTTTCCAGAACCATGACTAAATAAATTCTATTATACATCCTGCCAGCCAATGTTATTTTGTTATGGTAACCCTAGAAAACTAGCATAACATGCTTTCTAATACAATGACAGAAATGATTCAGAGAAGGGAAATAATTAGTGGCTTCTTCAGATCTGGATAGATCTCCATTAAGAATCAGTGAGTATGCTACAGAGTATGCCAACATGGAAGACAATTACCACTACAATACAGAATCACTCACAAAAATTTACAAAGGAAATCATTAGAAATAAAATGTGAAGGCGGGCCTTGGTGGCGCACACCTTTAATTCCAACATTCAGGAGGCAGAGGCAGGAGGTTATCTGAGAGTTTGAGGCTAGCCTGTTCTACAGAGCAAGTTCCAAACAGGCTCCAAAGCAATACAGAGAAACCCTGTCTCCAAAAAAAGTGGATTGTTTTAAAAACACAAGTCCTCATTTTCAATACTCCATTCTGTTCTCACACATGAAGTACACAGTGATAAAACAGACATAACATAACATGACCACTAAAATGCTTAAGAAAACTCAATTATTAATCATACAGAACAAACCAGGATTTTAAAAATTAGCACATACAGAATAAATCTAAATGTAAGAACTCATAGAAAATATAAGGCATTAATATATAAAGCTACAAAGGCCATCCTTCTATTTGAATGGTGGTTCCAGCAATTCAACTCACAACCATGACTATGGATGAACATATATTATTCTGCACACATTTCATGGATTACCTTATGGCTTCGGAATCAATATGCACAGGAGCAATTCTTTCCAACAGAAATTTGACCATCTCTAGAAAAGGGTTGGTTGGCTGCTTAGGATTTGCAAGTTTCCGAGCTATTTCTCTCTATAGAAGAAAAAAAGTCTTACTTTAAGTTTCATCATTATATAGTTTTTCACAATAAGAATATCTATAGGTAGAAAAGCACTGAAAAATTTAAAACCATAAAGAAATGAAAAAAAATTCTTTTAGGCCCTAAAATATACATAGTAAGCAATCACTGTAAAATCTGGACAGTGGAAAGAAAGGATGCAATGTGTTTTTTGTTTGTTTGTTGAAACACGGTTTCTCTGTGTAGTTTTGGAGCCCTTCCTGAATCTTTCTCTATAGACAAGGCTGGCTTCAAACTCAGAGATCCATTTGCTTTTGCCTCCTGGGATCAAATGCTTTTTTGAAAAAAATTTCTAATTTGGTTATGCATAAACTTTTTTATTATTTCATAATTTAATAGAATATTGTGTTTTCTTTCAATTAATTTCCTTTAATAATATTACATTCTTAATTAACAATATTTGCATATGCAAGTATGTATGTCAGTGTGGGTTTGTGCACATGAGTGTAGGATCTTTACAGGTCAGAGGACAGTATCAGAGCTATTTCTCTCCATAAAAGTAAAAGATTACAGGAAGTTGTGGGCTGCTCTAAGTGAACTCTGGGAACTGAACTTTAGTCCTCAGCAAGAACAGTATGAGCTCACCTGCTATTAAGCCAGCCCTAATTTTTTTTTTTAAAAGGGTAACAAGGTGACTCAGAGGATAAAGGGTCTTGCTGCCAAGTATGACCACCTGAGTTTGAATTCCAGGTAGAAGAAAACTGAATCCTTTGACCTACTCATCCCTTTGCCCACAGACACCCACACCCACACACAACTAAAACTTTTGGAGAGGGGGCTATATAGCACATACACAATGGCTACTATGGACCCTCCAGAAGCATCAAGCCCAGGAACTTCAGAGTAGCCTAGGCCAGGGATACTGGGTGTAAAAAACCAAACCACAAAATGAGGAGAGAGGGGCTACACACAAAGTTGTATGAATGGCACTGCTTTTCAATACTGCAAAAACACAAGTAAGAGATAAATAGAAACATGCAGTCTTCCAGAATTTTGATAATGTGAAGATTTACTTACCATTCTGAATTCATGAACTAAAAACAGTAAATGTCTCTAAGTACAAAGATGGCAGTATTCTATCAACTATCTCTAGGTCTTCCAGGTGATTTAACTGTGTTAATGCATATCAACCACGTGCTAATTCAGACCATTCACAGACAAGTCATCTCCCATTTTAAATTAAATTTCATTTTATTTATTATTACTAGTGTGAGTGTTTTATGCAGATGCATGCATTCTATAACTTGCATGTATATGACAGGGGACAGACAAACTTCAGCAGTCAGTTCTTCCCTCTCATTATAGTTTAGAATTGAATTCAGGTGGGAGCTTGCCACTGAGGAACAGCACTGGACCTAGTCATCTTTTATTTTTAAAAAGAAGTGTTCAAGTGTTCATTCACCATTACTAGAAATGTAAAACCATTCCTGACACAATGATCTAGTTTCAAAATATCCTTTAAGACCCATATCAGGAATCACTTATGTAAGTCATTCTCTGACCTGTTTCTACCCCTCTGGGGTGAGTGATACCCTTCAATATGTAATTCTACTAGAACACTTACCACGTTGTGTTCACTATCAAAATAGTGACCTATTTCTTTCACCTAATCTACAAGTTGGGTAAGAAGAGATCATATAATACAAGTATAAACTTGATCAAGGGAAAAATAAATTTAGACTTCTGAAGATACAGTGTGTATTTTAATAATTCCATAAGTATCTGTTGTTTCATTTTTTTTAATTGTTGAGAAAGGGTTTTAAGAAACTAGCCTCCAATTCTCAATCCTTCCTCACCTCCCAAGTGCTAGGGTCACAAACATGAGCTGTCACTCACCTTTATTTTTTATTCTGTAAGACACACTAATGCTGGCCTCTAATAACTATTTCCTCTTGTCTCTACTGTGCTACATGGTACAATGGCCACCCTGCTAAATCCTGCAGCTCACAGGGTCTTGTGTTTCTACTTTACATATAATTACAAGGGTGATTTAAGTAATATATACAAGTTACACAGGACTAGCTAATAGAAAAGTGAGAAAAGCAGGAACCATTATCAGGCTCTCAAAATTACAAATATCTATTTATTTTGTGTATATGTACATAGGAATATACCATGGAAAGCTTGTGGAAGTCGGCCCATTAATATCTATTTTTGAAACATATTAAATATTTCTGGCTTAACAACCCAGGGATGCATGCTATTGCTCTTGTTTTCAAATACAAGTTATATCCCTATTTCTTCTCAAATCAAAGGTACCCCTTGATTTCAGGTACGCGCGCGCGTGTGTGTAGGGATATTTAGTTTGTTTTGTATTATGTGTTTGTTGTGCATGTGCACGCCTATGACTAGAGATCTGCCTTTGCCTCTGCAGTGTTGAGATGAGGAGCCTGCACCATAGTTTACATGGGTTCTGGGCATTTGAATTCAGATCTTCATGCTCTGTATATTAATACCAAAGGCACCTCATGATCATGAGCCCCTGCAATGGTTCCTGCAAAGATGACACTATCATGCTGATGAGATATAGGCTCTACTTGGAACTTAGTCACTATACCCTGCTATGAAATGAAGCATGAAAAATGTCCTTTAACATTTCATTGTCCTTACAGGCAAAACTTTAAACCACATACTCTCACGGGTATTTAAGTCATTTTATTTCATCAATCCAATTATATAAGTAGATGCTGCAATCCTTTCCATTTTCTTGGCTTGCATTGTTGTTTCCCAATATTTTCTTTCCCTTTTCTTTCCTTTACCTTACAATTTCACTTCTCTCCCCTTACCTTCAATTCTTTTCCCTTGCCTTGCTTTTTTGTTTCCTTTCCCATCTCTTCCTTTCCTGTCATTATTTTACCTTTACCTTACCTTTCCCTTGCATTCCCCCGGTTCCTTTCCCTTGCCTTGCCTTTTTTCCCTACTTTTCCCTTCACAATATACAGTACTATTAATTCTGAGTACCAAAGCAGTTCATCTTTAAATCTTTAAAGCAACCAATTATTCAGGTAAGTGTAAAGGTGAAAATACCAGGACACTTGGCCCATAGATGCACCTGGACAAAGAAGAGTTCTGCTTCTCTAAGTGGGCCTTGCAGCACATCATCTTACACACTCATCTCTTTAGATTCCCCAGTCAGTAAAATCTGTTTTATACTCATAGACCACTGTGTAAGAACATCTATTATAATCTTTAATACCCCATTACATACTTCAAAAATTATCAACTCTAGTCCCTTTCAGAACAAAAGTAAAAATAAATAACCAAAATGCTAATCTTTTATTCATGTTTTAGCCTAACTTTAGCATAATGTATATCTTATGCATAATAGCATTAAATGCTGAACACATGAACAAATAAAGTTTTCTCCCCTAAGTTTCTAGAATACTGATAAGGAGTGCAAGAAGACAGAGGCCTACAAAGAAATGTATTTCTTCAACAAATGAATCCTGTATGGCAACAGGACTATAATTAAATTATTGACAGACTTTGTTTCTCTGCTCAAATACAAAAGAAGAATACACTTTGAAACATTCTAAATCATTCTTTTCCATTTCTTAAGTGAAAGTATTTTATCTAGGTCATTTCTTAGGACCAGTCTCTCTGACTCAGGTCTAATGCCTCCTCCCTGCCACTTTCCCCACCCTGGAATATGGCTGGAGAGTGTTAAGAAAGAAGAATTTAGTTGTATTTGGATATATTACTAGGCAATTTAGCATCTACCATACAGTTAAAAGTCACAGAAATATATGTAATAAGATACAAATTTCTCCAAGTTATTAGAAAAAATTATAAAAGCATAATTCACTAACCACACAAATGTCAGCTTGTTTGCATGAACAGGTTGGACTGATTAATAATTCTAACTGAGACCGCAGTTTCTCATCATCACCAAGAACCTGGTTAAATTTCTTTACAAAATCTTGTGCTTTCCCAGGGTCAGGCAAATTCTCTATAAAATGAAGAGAATAAATATTAGAAAAGAAAGATAACTACACCAAAAGTATCTTTAAAACACTGATGAGAGCCCGGAGAGATGATTTAGCCGTCAAGAGTGTTTACTGTGAGGGTCAGGATGGGGGGTTGTTGGAGAGATGGCTGGAGAGCAGCTAAGAGCACTGGTTGTTCTTCCAGAGGATTCAGTTCCCAGTGCCCATATCATATCTCACAACTGTGTGTAAATTCAGTTGCAGGGGATCTGACACCCTCAAACAGGCATATATGAGAGCAAAACACTATACATATAAAAAATATATATATAAATTATTTTTAACAAAAAGTGTTTACTGTTCCTGCAAAGGACCCTGTAACCACATCAGGTGGTTCACAATTGCCTGGAACACCAGCTCCAGGTGATCTGACGACTCTGCACTCCCCGGGTGCATATCCTCACACAAAGACATACACATAATTAAAAATAAACACGAAATATTACAAAATAAATATGGGTGAACCATTAAAAGAAAGCAAAATTAGGGATTATCTTAACATTTATTCATAGTATCATTGTTTAAATTAATAACATGTTTTAAGTGGATTGGAAAGATGGCTCAATAGGTAATAGTACTTGTTGTTCTTGGAAAGAATCCAGGTTAAATTCCTAGCATCTCATGTTGGCTCACAAGCATCTATAAGTAACTCCAGTTCCAGAGAACTGAACAAGCACATCCATGATGCATATATATATATATATATATATATATATATGCAAGCAAAACAGTCATACAAATAATGTAAATATGAAAAAAGCCTGTTTGGTATTTACTACATGCTCATTGGGTAAATAAACATACTTACTTGCTATGGTCATCAGTTTCCCAAACATGGCAGAACAGTTAGCCTCTGACTGAAATTTAAGACAAAAACAAAAGAACAACTAGTCATTTGTATTCATCAGAGTCTATGATGAATTTATGGCTAACCTCCCTCTTTGTTTTGTGTGTGTGTGAGAGAGAGAGAGAGAGAGAGAGAGAGAGAGAGAGAGAGAGAGACTGCTACTAGCAAGGAACAGTAGAAAAGCAACAAATTAAGAGAAAAAAAGAAGGAAAAGAGATGTGAACAGGAAAACATTAAAAGCCTGAATAACAAGGTATGGTAGAATGTGACGGACTATATTGCTTGAGCCCAGGAATCCAGCCTTGGTAACATGTTCAGCCGACTAACACTCTTCCTGCCACACCTTCCTGGTTAGGTGGACTGTGCCCTACAACTGTGAGCCAAAACAAACCCTTCCTTCAGGACGTTCCTTTTGATCTTGTTGGATGTTCTGTCACCACAGTAAGAAAAGTAACTGATATATGACTAAAATCTCAGGAAGCAAATGCTGAGAAAAGGAAGGCTGTCGGGAACTTGAGGCTAAACCAGGCAACACAGTGATTTCTAGACCAACTTGAGCTAAAAAACTGAAGAAGGAGAAAGAAACAAACTAAAAAGGAAGTTTACCTCTGAAAACTGCTTAGCTGACATTTGTAAATTAATATACTTTGAGATTCTTTCTTTATATTGTACTACAGAAAAAAAAAAAACACTGATTTTCATTGTGAATTAAAACAAAAATCATAAACCTACTGTAGGCTGCTTGTGTAAATCCAATAGTTCACGCACATGACTCCGAAGCATGTTCTGACACTTCCACATTTCATTGAGAGCTCTGTACATAGTTATAAACATGAAAAAATATATTTAACAACACTGCAAACTGTTCAACTTTATGAGTTAAGTATGCTACTCCTATATTCCTACATAAAAATTTTAAGCAACAATTAATTAGAATTTAAGGAGGTTTAGTACTACACAGGCACTTTACCACTGAGAGGGAATGTCTGGGTTCAAAGGATCTATCTGACCCTGCCAGTGAAGTCATACATTCAAAGAAGCTTTAGTTCTAAGCAGAGGGAGCTAGAGAGTTCTGGTCTAATCAAAGAAACAGAAATGTGAAGGTATTAAAGTCCAGTGTACAGAGGATAATTGGAGGGCATATGGAAATTGGAATACACCACCAATGAATAAACAATAAAGGAAAACATACCTATGAGTGATGAAGACTGCTTAAAACAATCAGCTGATGCTTGCTAAGGACTAGCTTTCACAGTACCAGAAAGTGCTACATGAGCTTCCAAGGGAAGGAAGCAAACCTATAGTTCTATGTAGCTGTGATACCTATGAACTACAACTACCATGGCACAATAGCCCCAAGGTGTAATAGTTGCACTCATATCTCTTTAGTAACTAACAACTCTCCTATCACTATCCTGCAAAAGGAGAATCATGCCTGGTACTAGAAACCCAGCCAGGTGATGAAATGAACACACTACCTATATTCGTATAATTCCTAACTGTAATCTTAAGTATTTCTCCCATAGATAAATGTAACTCTCATCCCTCATCAAAGAAACCTCTCTTTGCAACAGATGGAGACCATTAAGAAAATAACAACCAATCAAAATGCAAAGAACAAGGCGCTCTGTTGTTACCAGCCCTAATTTTCACATCTACAACACAACTGTGGTAATAGGACATAGAGAACATCACAGACAAGGGAGTGGAAATATTTTAGGAGCTAGAGGACCAGGAACGAACCTTAGAATGGACAAAAAAGCTTTACCAACAGTTATCTCAATAGGCCTGCCTAAAAAACACCTACAAGGATATCACCTATAGACATGTTAACATGAAAGAGAGAAATCTCATGGGGCCTACCCTTGACAAAGAACGATAAGCAACTAAGGAAATGCTGAGAGGAGAGAAATAGTCTTCCCTAGGGACAAGCCTGTCCAAGTGGTCAATCATATACATATATCATACATATACACACACATATATACATACATACATAAATCATATACATATAAATAATGCTCAACAGACTAATCAGGTTATCTATACATACATACATGCGCACATGAGTACGTGTGAGCTTAACACCCCCCCAATAGCAAGTAAAAAAGAGAGGCCATGAATTCAAAAGGAGATAAGGAGGGTGGGATACATAAGTGGTTGGAGGGAGGAAAGGGAAGGAGGAAAACATATAATTAAAAAAAAAAAAAAAAAAAAAAAGCTAGACTAGGGGAATGCTCAGAGGAAAATATTTGCTATACACAAATGAAGATCTGCCTTCATATCCCAGTATACATGGAAAGCATTAATCCATGCTAATAATAGCAATATTTCTATGATGACACAGGAGGCACAGACATAAGCTTGAGGGTTAGCTAGACTGGCATTTACAAGTGAACAAAAGATCCTATATCAAATAAGGTGGAAGGCAGGGACTAACAACTGACAGTGTGCGCTGATGCCAACATACATGCTGCTGCACACAAGCATTTGAACACATGGACACGGACACATACACTCACACAAAGACTGAAAAATGAAGAATTCAAGTGTCTCCAGGCATGGAGGAGCATGCCTGTAACCCTAGTACTTCATAGCCAAAGCAGGAAGATCAATGTTAGTCTGTTCGAGCCTGAGCTACAAGAGACCCTATCAAGGCAAACAAGAAAAAAAGAGATTACCTACCTCACACAAAACCCCCCAGTGTATTCCAGTTGTCAAGAGCACATTTAAGAATTACTGTGTGACTCAGTACTCATAACTAGCTATTTAGAAATAAAAATAAATGGAGGACTGATGGGCAGTGGAGCACTTGTTTAGCACACAAACAAGCTCTGGGTCTCATCCCGAGCACTATATAAACTGTGTATTCAAAGAGTCTGCTATAATGTCAGCATTGCAATTAGGAATTAAAGGGTGTCCTCAGCTACCTATCAAATTAAAGCCTAGCCTGGGCTACAAAAGAACCTGATGAAAGGGACAGGGGTGGGGAGAGAAGAAATATAAATGGTATCAATGAGTAGCAGGATTTAGCCCCTTGAAAGGAGCCTTAGTTTCCATCATTAAGCGTTCAAAGGATGAATAACACCTGTTGAAATGTCTCAAGGCCACAGCATTAAGCTCATGGAGTCTACTGAATACGCACAATTTCAATCCAACAAGAAAACAGTAGAACCCAAACTAAAGACAAAGTTTACAAAATAACTAGATCTCTGGCAAGATAAGACCACATGGAAACACTTATATTAATATAAATGGGTTAATATTTAAGACAGAGCTAGTTAAGAAACGCTAGTAACAGGTCAACAGCTTTACATCTAATATAATGTCTCTGTGTGTTATTTGGGGGCTGACGTGGCTGTGGGACCAGGCTGGAGGGAAAACTGCTCATAGCAACTAGATTTTTATGCCAACTGATCTAAAAGAAAAAAGAAAAAAAAGAAAAACTATATAATAGTAGATAGTAGAAAATGTATCCCTGAGGAATATATGAAAAACAGGAAATTTAAACACAGTAGATTATTGTATAATAGTAAATTTTTTTCACAGATTAATTTTATTTATGTTCCTATATTCTATGTATGCCCTCAAAGGGCAGGAATTACATGCAGTTGTGGATTGCCAGATATGGGTGCTGAGAACTATTCAGACTTCTAGAAGAGCAACAACTGTTCTTAACCACACTTCAGCTCCAAATTTTAAAATTCTAGTCATTTAAAAGTTATGTAAGAGAATATCCTTATTCACAAATAACTCTGAAATATTTAGTGGTAAAGACCACTACATATCGCTTCAAACATTAAAAAAAATTTATGTTTAGATAGAATGTACAAATGGCAAATGTGCTCTACCATTCCCGCAACTTTCTTGTAAGTTTGAAGTTGTGGTGTTTTATGCATTTTGTTTGTGTGTGTGTGTGTGTGTGTGTGTGTGTCTAATGATTTATCCAAGGCTTTATGCATGCCAGCATGTCAGGCAATGAGTTATACTCCTACTCTACTTGTGGGTTTGTTTTCTTTTAGCTTTTTGAGAAAGGGTCTCTCTAACAACTGTGGCTGTTTTGGAACTTTGTCTATAGACCAGGCTAGTCTTGAACTCAGAGATCCACCTGCCTCTGCCTCCTAAGTGCTGGCACTAAAGGTTTGCTTCTCACCCTGGTCCACTTGTATGTCTGTCTCTTTTCAGTCAAGATCTCAAATATCTTGGTTAACATTAAACTCACTATGTAGCCAAGGCTGGTAGTTTAAATACCCATACATATCAATCTGGATACGACTGATTAAATACTTGAAACCATGTTACTGACATTATTACCAAAAGTGTGAATGAACACTAGAACACACACAAAGACACAGATCCTCATATTTAAAAACAAACAAAAAAACCCCACCTAGGAAATGTATGAGTAACTTACTTCACAGCATTTGGATCCAGACTAGCATATAAATAATATAAGCATTTCATTCTCTCTTCAGTTTCCAGGTTATGAGGAACAAGATACTGAGCAAAGATTTTCTCTACCAACAGTCTATGGAAAACAAACACACAAAAACAATTATGCTATTTAAGAAGTGATAAGTCAATTTAACCGTTTTGTATAAAGGTACTACACGGATGGTGAGAGTTATGTACACAAATAACAAAAAGCTTCAATACAGTCACTCCTCTTGGGACAGACACAGTAGTTATTTTACATCTAGTTGTACTTGGGTCTAATTTCATAATCTGTCACAAAACATTTGTTCTGCAATATTTGAATGTTACTCCAAGGGGACAGGGTCTCACACTGTAGCATAGGCTCGCCTTGAACTAATGGAGATCCTCCTACCTCAGTCCTTCCTAGTGCTGGGATTTTGGATATGAGCTCTGCTCCTGCTTATTCTCTGTCAGTTTTGGGGGAGGGAGAGATTGGTGTTTTGGCTTTCTTTCTTAAATAGAACAAGTCTCGTGTATCCCAGGCTGACCTCAAACTTGCTATGTATAGGTCAAGCTTGCACTGAACCTCTGCCTAAGCCTCCAAAGTGCTGGGATTACAAGTGTGCAGAACACCAGCCATTTTCTTAAATGTCTCTCCCCCCCCCCCACTCCCCAGGGCGGAAGTGACCTGTGGAACTAGGTCTGAGGAGGAGCCCGGGAATGAGAGCATCATGTGGAATTTGCTGGTGTTCATCTGTCTAGGTTGTAAGTTATTTCTCCCTGAATAAACACCTATTCGGCCTATTTGTTTATCCTGATCTTTATTAAACCACAATAGTTCATTTACCAATGATGATATATATATATATATATATATCGTCAATCACTCTAATTCAACAAAACACTGTAAAATATTTATAAAAACCCAAGTATTAGCATTTAAAAATAGAGAAAAATGTATCTACTGGTTGTAGCAGTATTAGCAAAAAGAAAACCAATGAGAGGGGTTTACAAAACTGGGCCTGGGTGTTCTTACACTTACTTAGTATCTACTCCCACATGACAACCCCATAAGGAAGGCACTATTACTCCTCCTTATTTTATATACCTGAAGTAGATATAAATGAAAACTACAAGCAGAAGCCAGATTTCTGTCTCCATCCATCCTGACTCACTCCTAAGTCCACACGTATTTTACTGCTTTATGCTACTTACAATCTTGGGAAGAATCTGCACAAATATACAGAAAATTATTTTTGTATTTAGAAATGAATTAGGTAAAAATTAAATAGAGTATTTACAAATGAAAAGCAGTTTTGTCAAACTATCAGACTCACTTGTCATCGATGCTATTCTGATAGTAGATGTGCAGAAGCTTGTCCTTTATCCAGCTGACTTTCTCTGCAGCTTCCTTTCCTGCTTCACCATGAAGACAGTATTTCTTATAAAGCTGAGCCAGACCCATCATAGCTTCTTTTCTCACTCGCCACTAGAAAAATAGCACTTATGAGATGAGCAAACTAGATTCAAATATGCAAATCAGCAATGGCTGCACTAGGCTATGCAGTAGTTACTGTGTGCATCCAAGCAGCACAGTGGATCTTCTCACCGGCAGCTATGCCAAACTGCTTTACTATTTTACAAATTCTCCTGATAAGATACCAGCTACTGCATAATTTTCCAGGGCAGTACTGATATATAACCTAACAAATGTTTAGTTCTCCTCAAACAAAGCAAAGTACAGATTTCATTCAATTCCTTAATTATATATTGATGTGAATAAAAGGAAAAATTAAAATTGTAAATTATATAATTTATTCTGTACACAAAAGGCTATGGTGTTAGTTTTTAATTATATACCCTTGAACTTAACTGTGAATAAAAATAAAGTTCACTATCAAGAATTCTGGAAAAGCAAAGTTGGTGAGAAAGTTCTTGTTTATCTTTGGTGAACTTCCTCACTATGTAGGCTTAAGCAAACATTGGGGCTCAAGAGGTAGTACAGCAAGTAAGGGCACTTGCTGGTAAGCCTGGTGGCCTGATAATCAATCTTGGGACCTACATGGAATCCTAAGACTTCACATGTACACGCACGCATGTACACATGCACATGTACACACACACACACTAATAATAATAATAATAATAATAATAATAATAATAAATTTTTTTAAAAAGTTTGGGGCCTGGGAATGTAGCTCAGTTAGAAGAGTGCCTGCTTTGCATGCATAGAAACCTAGATTTGATTCCTATCATTGCACACATGGAATCCCAACATCAAATGGGTAGAGACAAGAGACCCAGAAATTCTAGGTCATCTTTAGCTGTGAAAGCTAACCTGAGCTATAGAATTAACATATATGAGTGTTTTGTCTGCATGTATGTATGCACATCGGAAAAGGGCAACAGATTCCATAGGACTACAGTTAGGAGCTGCCATGTGGGTTCTGGGAATTGAACTCAACATCTGGAAGATCAACCAATGCTCTTAACTAATGAGCCACCTCTCTAGCCCCAAGACCCTATCTGTAAAAGCAAAGGGAAAAAAGACCAGGCATGGTAATGAAAAACCTCTGCCTACTAAGTGTTAGAACTTAGTAGGCAGAGGCACACTGATGCCTGTAGGTCTAAAGCCAGCCTGATCCAGGGATACAAAAACAATTTCTTTTTTTTTTTTTTTTTTTTTTTTTTTTAAAGTATATTTTAAAGGGGGGTGAGGGAGAGAAAACATTCTAGTTGTGTAACTGGAATTTCTTGTCCCACCTGATACCACAGCTGTTTGCCCCAAATAAACACTCAGATGCTATATTAATTATAAAACTGTTGGCCAATGGCTAAAGCTTCTTATTGGCTAGCTCTTAAACATTAACCCATAACTACGAATCTGTGTATGTCTATATGGCATTATCAGAGAACGCCTAGTGCATCCTATGCTCCAGGCCCCTATATGGCATCTCCCTTTGGTCCTTCTCTTCTCCTAGCCCTGCCTATCTTCCTCCCTCTACTGGCTAATGGCTTGTGTTTTATTCACCACCAATAAGAGAAACATATACACAGAAGGATATTCCCCATCATAGCTGATTTTAAGTCAGTATTTTCTCTTAAATTTCTAACGTAGAACCAAACTCACAAATGAGAGCTGTGAAATCTAAAATTCCTGTTCCCCATCTTCCAAAAGTGAAAAGTGTTAAAATGGATGCAAAACTAACTTAATAAACTAAAATCCTGAACTAAAATTGTATAGTAATGTATGATCAAATCATGTAGCCAGGAAGAGCAATTTGATTTACCTCTTTCTGAAAATGAGATAAACATTAATAAAAGGAGTATTTTTCTTAAAGGAAGAAATATCACACTAACCATCAATGGCCTTGACAGGTAATGGCAAGTTAAGAGGAGATTCAGTAAATGTGAACTCACTACATGAGAATTTAAATTAAGATAAAAAAAAAATAAAAGCCAACCATCAGAAGTTTTAATTATTGACACCATTAAACAAGTTAGTGTCCTTTTCTTTTGCAACATCTGCCACATGGTTATTTTAAAAATAAGAAGATAAAGATCACCTCTGGTAGCATGTAAAAATATACTTGTATACCCTAAAACCAGACCTAAACTATTCATATTTAGAAAATAGTTTTACAATGTCAAACAAATCAACACACTATATAGGAATTTCTCCTAAAAACAAGGATGGCTCTTTTTCTTTTTGGAGACAGGGTCTCTGAGTTGTCCTGGCTGTCATAGAACTCACTCCGTAGACCAGGCTGGCCTTGAACTCACAGATACCTTTGCTTGTTCCAGCCTCTCAATTAAAGGAATGTACCACCACACCTAGCTAAGTCCGACTCTTTCTTAAGGCTGACTCATCTCTTCTTAGTAACTACTGTAGTTTAAAACATTCCTTTTCCTTATGAGCCCATGTTTCTAACTGCATCCAATGACAGAAACAGCAAAATAAAGTAAGTAACTTAGCCTAGTAGGCATTATGAAAACTACATTTTAGGAATTTTGATACTCTTTTAACTGAATGAATGACAGATCAAACTAAGTTATGCAAAAATATAAATAAGAAGTACATACACACACATGACTTTTGCAAACTAAAATGTGCAGAAAATCAAATTAGTTCATTTTCCTAGTTTTCCTTTATATGAGAATGCTATAAGAAAAATCTATTCCCTTGGGGCTGGAGAGATGGCTCAGTGGTTTCTTCCAGAGGACCTAGGTACAATTCTCAGAATCTACATGATGTTCACAAATGTCTGTAACTCCAGTACCAGGGGATTCAACACCCTCAGATAGACATACATGCACAAAACACCATTGCACATAAAATAAAAAATAAGTTATTAAAAAAAAGAAACGAAAACTCCATTCACATAATATGAAAAGATACAGAATCAAACATACTCATTCATAAAGATAAGCAAAGGTTACGCATGGGAAAGCAGGCAGATCTCTGTGAGTCTGCAGCCAGCATATTCTACACAGTAAGTTCCAGGCGAGCTACAGTAAGACCCTGCCTCCAAAATTAGTGTGCACGAAACATTAAAACTAATAGTTCACTGGGCAGTGGTTGAGCATGGCTTTAGTCCCAGCACTCATGAGGCAGAGGCAGGTAGATCTATCTCTATGACTTTCAGGCCAGCCTAGTCTACAAAGGTACACAGAAAGACCCTGCCTCAAGGACCAAAAAAAAAAAAAACCAAACAAACAAACAAAAAAACCAAAGCTAATAGTTCTGTACTTAGTGTTATTCTGAACACAGAAAAGCTGCAACTGGTATTATAATGCAAGACACAAATAGCAAACAATTTGAACACAGTAAATCAGAGAAAAGCAACACTCCCTGATCTTACCCTTTTATCCAGTGTCCTCTCCCTGACGAAGCCAAGTAACTGATCATTTACTAAAGTAAGGTCTCTTTTAGCAGCTGTTATTATAGTAACAATGACATCATGACGAATAGCTTCTTCTGGATCATGTGATCTAACTTTCAAATATTCTAAGATTAAAAAGGAACAGTTAAGCTAAATGTTAGTTTCGTAAATTATCATGATTCAGAATAAGACAAAAGCTTTAAGCGCTGTCTGCATTAATGATTACAAAATACAAGATGACTATTACCTGTTAGACATAATTAAGTAGCCTTCCCTATTCATAAAACTATGCTTATTACTTCAGGCCACATCATAATTATTCTGGTGGAAAGTCAAATGACAGTATAGTACCAATTTTACATTTTGAAACTTCATCTATAAATTAAGACTTAAAAAAGCAGTACAGGGCCTGGAGAGATGGCTTAGTGGTTAAAAGCACTGGCTGTTCTTCCAGAAGACCTGGGTTCAATTCCCAGCACCCACATGGCAGTAAGCAACTGTCTGTAACTCCAGTTTCAGGGGACCTGACACTCACACAGACAGATATGCAGGTAAAACAATAATGATCATAAAATGAAAATTTTTTAAAAAGCAGTACAAATGTGCATGAGACAAGTGATATATATAACATATACATATATTTATACAGTTATATAAATATGAAACGGAATGACCTTTAAATTTCTAAATAAATTATAATACAAATGAAAACAAGTTATTTCTTTGCTTTTATCAGCAACATGCTGATAAAAACTTTATTTGCTATTGCCCAATAGGTAGGTTTAACTACTTTAAACTGAATAATGAAAAGTTACAATCTAAACTAGAAAATAGTCCCCTCTTTTGCACACATTAGGTATGCTAATTAGTATATTTAATAACATAGGTCTTTTATATATAATACAAATGTCATAAATCTTATATTATCTCAACTTATGATTTCTAAAATACTTCCAAATGGCCGATACATACATATATATATATATATATATATATTTTTTTTTTTTTTTTTTTACAAAATATTATCTTATAAACCAGAAATAATTTCCTAGTCTACAAAGTAGACATAGACATCCTAGAATCAAATCCTTTTTGGAAACTAGAGTTAGATACTGACCCCCATTTGAAATGTTTTGTGATTAATTAATGTGTAATAAACCAGGGAGCTTACCTGTGAGATCCTTTGCTAAATCTGGGTGGTTCATCAAACAGTGACTGGCAAATTTCACACTTTCTAATCTCACAGGAACATGAATGTCATTAAAACTAAGTAGAAAAAGATTGAAAAGCATCAATAAGGCAAATTAATTATTTATAAGAGTATAACATAAAAGTGTTTATAAACAATGGTTACTGAGTAGAAACTATTAATGTACTGATAGCTAATGTGTTCTAAGGAAAATAAAATAACTGATTATAATGGAAAGAACTGTTCATAATGGCTCACATCTTTAATCCCAGGAGGCAGAGGAAGGTACAGCTATCTATGAGTTCAAGGACAGTACATGGTCTCCAGGTGGAGCTTAAGTCAATCAGAGCTACATAATGTACAGAGACAAAGACAGAGATAGAAAAATATACATAATTCTATGAAAACACTTTGGAAACAGTATGTGCTTACCACATTAAAACAAAAACTATTATAAATATGTTATCCAATTCAGACAGATTTTTCAGACCTACTAATACTAAAAGCTTGAAATGTTGCTACATACTCAGAACACAGCCACACATTACACACACTCATGCTTACTTTGTTCCACAATTTATTCAAAAGGGCATTACTACACAGATGTCAACAATATCAATTAATGTTTGGTATATATATAATGTTTAATCATGTGGTCTCTGAGAGCACACACAATTCAAAAGTCATGCTTTCTTACCGCCCAAGAAAACACTGCCAAAGAGGCCGATTCTGTGTTGCTAAGTCTGAATCTTTAGAGCCAAACAATTTTGCTAGAAGTCGAACCACAGCTAATCGTTCTTCACCATCATTGCTCTACAAAGAGAAGACACAATGAAGGAAGCCTGCACTTTACTTCCCAAGTAGAAACAATTTTATGTCAACTATTATGATGAATAATGTGAACTATTACATGTTTTTGTTTACTATGAGAAATTTTGTCTGATTCCATGTTAGATTGCATGGCTCCCTGATGACCTTACATCTTCCCGATTGCTAATTTATGCCTACTTTACATCTTATCTGCAAGTCATACACTGATTATAAAGACTTTACACAAATATAAGCATTTTATTATATCTTCATATTGTCTACAACTTCAAAAAAATTCCAAATGACAAAGTGACAAATAATTCCTGCCCTAGTAAACTTCCTTCATAAAGATTCCATGCTATGAATACAGCCCATGCTATGAATACAGAACACTTAAGGTCTGGGTCTACAGTTTTAACAATGATTTTCCACTGACCAGAAAACATGATAAAGAACAACACTTCTAAGGAAAATGAAAATTCAAAACTAATCACTCTCAGAAAGCTTTTAGGCAGTGGGAATAAAATACGTGCATTTGCTTTAACAAATGTAAAATGATAATTATGTTAAGGCTTTAGCACATTAGTAACAAAATGGATTAAAAAAAAAAAAAAACTTTCTCTCAAGCAAAATAAAACAATGCTGAGAGATAACCAGTGTTTAGTACATCCAAAATTTACTAGTTAACCCCACTAACCGTCTAAGAAAATATTAATGTCTTAAATGTCAAACAGTAGAATATAAAAAGTTTGCATTACTTGTGAGTGGCTACATTTGCAGATCCATAGTCATTTCAACTATGTGAGATTTTACATCTATAAACTACTTAAACCAAACGGTTAAGTTGATATAAAGTCCTCATTGTAAGATTTCATATGTTCCTCAAGTGAATTCGGAATGGCCTTCAGGAGTAAAATGGCTTGTTGTTGCTTATATACAGGTGTGCTGATCCAAGTCACAGTGAATTATTATCTTATGAAGATGTATGTTGAACTGATAATAACCATTTTAAAGAATGAATGGCACAAAGATTAAAAATTTCTACATTAATGGTTTATCAATTATTTTTCTAATATTACATTTACTTATTTAGTGCATATATGTGTATATGTGTGTATGGTTGTATGTGTACCCTAATATACTGATGAGGCATAAAAATGACTAAACCCATTATTTATAAAGGAAATTAATTTAGTATCTAAATATAAATATTAAAGTCAAAATACTGAGTATCGTAAATTTCAAAGACAACAATACTTTATCTGTGTCACTATGTCTATCAGATAACAACCAGGCATGTTATGATGTCATATAGCTAAAATAAACTAAACTCGTATTTCATTCCTTTAGAAATAATGAAAATTTTTCAAAATACACCTTTTTTTCCCCCTGTAAAGCCTTAAGGGTACCTTTAGTTTGAATTCAAGCTGTGGCATGACAGATAACAACAAATGAGGATCTATAGCGAAAAGTTCCTGAATGAGATCAAATACATGTTCGGACAGATCACTGACGGACGATCTTCCCAGCACCAGGACTTGATTGAAAAACTAGAGGAGATATTACAATAAAAGATGTGTTATTTTACTTAAAAAAACAAACAAACAAAAAAAAACTAAACAATATTCTATAAATATACATGCAAAGAAAACAATGACTGAGCATTACACATACAACTGAAAGAAATGACAGAGATTACCTATTAAATTACTAATATCTAAGAGGATAAACATCTAAATAAGAAACAAACTTCCAAATATCAAATCATGAATTAAAACACTGATTATTGGTTGTGTTAAAAATAAGGACATTTCTGAAAACCTTAATTTTCATTATAATAAAACAATTTAAAGGGACACTTATAAAGCAACCACTCAGCATTTAAAAAAATTTAAAGTCTGATTTCTACTTAAAAATTATTCTATTTTTTTTTATGAGTTTAGTGATTTAGTGAAAGTCAAATACATTTTGAATCAGATAAAAATAAAGGTTGAAGACATGAAAGTTAGTTGGTAATTTAAAATTTTGGTTCAGCAATTAAAAGAATGGACTATTCCTGCAGAGGACCCAATTTAGGTCCCAAAAACCTATTAAGTGTGGCTGATAACTGCCTGTAACTCTAGTTCCAAGTGATGTGATATCATTTTCTGGTCTCCAAAAGAAACTACTAAGTGCAAACACCCCCTCCAGCAGAGGTACTTGGATACATAAAAGAATACTGAAGGAGGGGGAAAAAAAAGGATACTTAATATCCAGAGGTAAAAAAAAAAAAAAAAAAAAAAAAAAAAAAAACCCTAATCACTTACACAAACATATGCCTCCTATATACATTTAGGAGAATGTCCTTTTTATAGATTTCGTGGTTATGTGTGGGCTATGGAGGCAAAAAGAGGGCATTGAATCCACTGGATTTGGAGTTATAGGCAGTTGTGAACTACTAGACATGGATATCAGGAAGAGATTTTTGGGTCCTCTGGAAGAGCAGTAAGCACTCTTTACTACTAAGCCACTCTCCAGCTGGGAACTACATTTCAAAATTTTACAAAAACAGTTCTATGCAAATCAGCATTTGATTTGAACACCATAAAGTTATATGTATTTCTTTAGAAAAGCAAGATAAATTATGAGTAAGAATATTTTTCATGTTTATCATGAACCTTTGAAAAGAATAAAAAACAATCTTAAAAGATACACAAATGGAGCTAGAGATGGCTCAGCAGTCAAGAGCACTAACTGGTCTTTTAGGACTCAGATTCTAGGATGGCAGTTCTCAACCATCTGTAATTCAAGTCCCAGGAGATCTGATGCCCTCTTCTGACCCATATGGATATCAGGTATACACATGGTACACAGACATACACATAATCAAAACACCTATACATATAAAACAATGTATGTATACACACAAGTAAGCATGGACGATACTCATAGAAATGCATCTTGAACCTACTTTTAAAAAGTGGCACGAAAGATGCCATTCGACAGAGTTCAAGTGGAGGGCTTTTTTATTAGGGAAAGGGGAGGAGGGAGACAAACCTCCAGGGACAGGAGCAACAAGAAAGAGGAAAGAGGCAGAGAGAGACAGAGAGAGAAAGAGAGACACAGAAACAGAGGGGGGAGGGGGAATGAGAGAGGGACAGGAGAGGGAGAGGAGGATGGAAGGTAAGCAGGGCCCTTTTAAAAGGGAACATAGTGAATGTGCACAGGTGGTGCTTAGTGACTGCAGCTGAGGGTATACCCTCTCAGAACCCCAAGGACAAGCCAGTACAGATGCCTGAGTACTAACACTTACTGATGGGTATGTCAGAACTGAGAACAAAGCATTCAAGGTAACCTACCATAATCTTAATTTAATAACAGACATAGCAATTTTATGCTATTTAAATTAGTAACCCCTCTTCTTTTTTTTATAAGGTAATTTCACAATACTGTTGCATTCTCAAAGATGATTTGTAAAGGAAAACACTGATAAACCTTTAATACAAGGCAATAGGGAAATAACTATGTGTCAATTTATATTTTGCGTTTTTTTAATTTTTATTTCATTTTAGCAAAATTCTCCCTTCACCCCTTCCTCCAACCCCCCTCATTTGTATTTTAAATAGAGATAAAACATGGAGCTAAACAAAGACCAATTGCTGTGCATGAGTAAATTTGTAAAACTACTTAAGGTAATAAATTTTATTTTTTTAAATTTATCAAATTACTATTTTTTGTTTGTTTGTCTTGTTTTGTTTTTCAAGACAGGGTTTCTCTGCGTTGCTTTGAAGCCTGTCCTAGAAATCACTCTGCAGACCAGGGTGGTCTTGAACTCAGAGATCAGCCTGTCTCTGCTTCCTGAGTGCTGAGGCTAAAAGTGTGCACCACCACCACCCGGCTCAAATTTCATCTTTTGAAAAGAGAACAGATTTATGTTCAATTAATTAAAAATTTTCCATTACAGGAATTAATAGATGCACGTGCTTGTATATGTGCTTGGGAGGGAGGTGTATGACAAAGTTTGCTCCCCCGCCCCATAAGGTTTTTCTGTATAGCGCTGGCTGTCCTGGAACTTGCTTTGTAGAACAGGCTGGCCTTGAACTCACAGAAACTCTCCTGCCTCTGCCTCCCAAATACTGGCATTAAAGGCATGAGGCACCACTGTCTAGCTATCAATGAATGTTTTTAAAACACTATTTATAAGGCTGGAGAGCAGTCACCTGCTCACCAACCTGATGAGCTTAGTTTGATTGCCCATAACATGATGAAAGAAGAGAACAGGTTACCCTCACAACACACACTGTCTTTTAAAATATATACTTATAAACATCTACTAAAGAAACAGAGCCAGGCGGTGGTGGTGCATGCCTTTAGTCCCATCACTTGGTAAAACAGAGGCAGGTTGATCTCTGTGAGTCAAGGCCAGCCTGGTCTGCAGAGTGAGTTACAAGATAGGCTCCAAAGCAATGCAGAGAAACTCTGTCTTGAAAAACCAAAAGGGGAAAAAAAAAAAAAAAAAAGGAAGGAAGGAAGGAAGGAAGGAAAAGAGTTTCAGATAAATGACCCAAAAGACACAAAGAGGAAAATATATACAGATAAGGGGAGAGGCAGTCAGATCTTTAAGGCCAGCCTGCTCTACCTAGAAAGTTCTAGGCCAGCCACGGCTACATAATGAGACCCTTCTTTCTAAAGGGAGGGAAAGGATAAAGAGACAAAGTGAAGGTTTCACATATTTGAGAGGGACAGGACAAGTATGAATACAGATGCAGAAGAGGGGATAGAAATGTAGTCTTATTTTAAATTCATATCTATCATGCCAATTTAAAGATATTTTTATGGTCATGTTACATTTCTCCAATTGTGATCATATTTACATGTAAGTTTTCATATTTTATGAATAAAACTTTCTTTTTAAATGAGAAATATATCTGTATATGAATGATTCTAATAAATTCACATAATACCCCAAGAATCATAGAGTTCTGAAATAAATGTATACAGAAATACATACATTGGCAATGCATGCTTCAATAGTCTGGACTGTCCTTTTCAACAGGACTTTTGCAAGGTCGAAGGACTGTTTATTTAAGTTCTGAAAAACAAATCATGCAAAGCTATAAATGAATTGGTGAACTGATGAGATAGCATCATTTGAACAATTAATTATTCAAACCAACCAAAACAGGAAAAAAATTAAGTGAATTTCATTCAAGGTTTTACACAGATGCCAGCCAAATGAACTCAACAAATCAAATACTAAAATACATTAGACAGGCAGTCAAAAGTCCAATCTATATAAAGCTTTACTAAACTAAAAGAGATGTTAAGGCTTTTAAGTTTGTATGTTAATCAACACGAACTTATAAACACATTATCCTAAACACAAGCTCCTTCCCCAAACCCAAATGCTAAATATTTCGTTGTTTAATCAATGTGTTCTTTAAAAGTTCTGGGGAAGTGATTCAGTGGTATAGTAGACCAATCACCTAACATTTATGAGGCCCTAGATTCAAATTCCTAAACTGCAAAAAAGGAAGGGTGGGGAAGGCCCTTGATCAACCATATTTTTATTTGCCTGATCCCTTCCTTTTGAGATAGCATCTCAATATGTTGCACTGGCTGTCCTGGAACTTACTGTACAGATCAAGCTGGCCTCAGAGATCTGTCTGCCTCTGTTTCCCAAGCTAGTGTATTAAAGGTGTGAGCCATCACATTCAGATCTCCTATTTCTGAAATAATGAATACTATTCTTAAGTCCCAATGTACTTTAACAAATTCAAGGATCTAAGAAAGATGGTAGCCATGGCATATATAATTTATTGGGGGAGAAAAAACAAAAACAACTGTTTTAAAGAATACCTGTTAACATCTCTCAACTATGAAATAGATACAATCTTATTATTCATCTTGTACCTCTCAAAAAGGAACTACAAACGTTATTTCTGAGGCCCGTGGTTGAGAGCATTGGCCTCTGTTACAGGGACAGGAGTTTGA